GTTGTGCTTGTCTAGGCCTATTATCAAGCCAGCAAGGGCTTGGGAGGGTTGCAAGCAGCATCGGTCATCGGCGCTCGCGAATAAAGAGCGCCCGCCGCACCTCCGGCACATGCACGGATCCTTCCGCGTGGGGGTGGAAGCGCTCGTTCCGAACGTTTTTCTTTCGCCGGATCACGTGGCTGTTCTTCTCTGGTCCTATTACCAAGCCAGCAAGGGCGTGGGAGGGTTGCGAGCATCATCGTTCATTGGCGCTCGCGATTTAAGAGCGCTCGCAGCACTTCCTGCACATGTGCGGATCCTTCCGCGATTTGGGGCTGGAAGCGTTCGTTCCAAGCATTTTTCATCCGCCGGGCCACGTGGCTGCGCTTGTCTGGTCCTATTACCAAGCCAGCAAGGGCGTGGGAGGGTTGCGAGCATCATCGGTCATCGGCCTTCGCGAATGAAGAGCCCCCGCTGCACTTCCTGCACATGTGCGGATCCTTCCGCGTTTTGGGGCTGGAAGCGCTCGTTCCGAGCGTTTCTTCCTCCGGCGTCACGTGGCTGCGCTTGTCTGGTCCTATTACCAAGCCAGCAAGGGCGTGGGAGGGTTGCGGGCATCATCGGTCATCGACGCTCGCGAATGAAGAGCGCCTGCTGCACTTCCTGCACATGTGCGGATCCTTCTGCGTTTTGGGGTTGGAAGCGCTCGTTCCGAGCGTTTTTCTTCCGCCGGATCACGTGGCTGCACTTGTCAGGGCCTATTACCAAGCGTGGGAGGGTTGCGAACATCATCGGTCATCGGCGCTCGGGAATGAAGAGCGCCCGCTGCAATTCCGGCTCATGCGCGGATCCTTCCGCGTTCTGGGGGTGGAAGCGCTCGTTCCAAGCGTTTTTCTTCCGCCGGCTCACGTGGCTGCGCTTGTCTGGTCCTATTACCAAGCCAGCAAGGGCGTGGGAGGGTTGCGAGCATCATCGCTCATCGGCGCTCGGGAATGAAAAGCGCCCGCTGCACTTCCGGCTCATGCGCGGATCCTTCCGCGTTTTGGGGCTGGAAGAAATCATTCCGAGCGTTTTCTTCCGCCGGGTCACATGGTTGCGCTTGTCTAGTCCTATTACCAAGCCAGCAAGGGAGTGGGAGGGTTGCGAGCATCATCGGTCATCGGCGCTCGCGAATGAAGAGCTCCCGCCACACTTCCGGCGCAACCCTCCACGCCCTTGCCGGCTTGGTAATAGGCCCAGACAAGCGCAGCCACGTGACCCGGCGGAAGAAAAACGCTCGAAACGAGCGCTTCCACCCCCAAAGCGCGGAACGATTTGCACATGTGAAGGGAGTGCAGTGGGCGCTCTTCATTTGCGAGCGCCGATGACTGATGATGCTCGGAACTCTCCCACACCCTTGCTGGTTTGGGAATTGGCACAGACAAGTGCAGCCACGAGACGCCGGCGGAAGAAAAACGCTCGGAACGAGCGCTTCCACCCCCAAAACGCGGAACGATCCGCACCTGTGCAAGATGTCCAGCGGCGCTCTTCATTTGCAACGCCGATAACCGATGATGCTCGCAACCCTCCCACACCCTTGCTGGCTTGGTAATAGGCCTAGACAAGCGCATTGATGTGACGAGCGCAACGAGCACTTCTACCCCCAAAACGCGGAAGGATCCGCACATGTGCAGGAAGTGCAGCGGACGCTCTTCATTCGCGAGCGCCGATGACCGATGATGCTCGCAACCATCCCACACCCTTCCTGGTTTGGAAATAGGCCCAGACAAGTGCAGCCACGTGACCCGGCGGAAGAAAAACGCTCGGAACGAGCGCTTCCACCCCCAAAACGCAGAATAATCCGCACGTGTGCAGGAAGTGTAGCAGGCGCTCTTCATTCGCGAGCGCCGATGACCGATGATGCTCGCAACCATCCCACGCCCTTGCGGGCTTGGTAGTAGGCCCAGACAAGCGCAGCCACGATCCGGCGGAAGAAAAACGCTCGGAACGAGCGCTTCCAACCCCAAAATGCGGAACGATCCGCACATGTGCTGGAAGTGCAGCGGGCGCTCTTCATTTGCGAGCGCCGATGACCAATGATGCTTGCAACCCTCCCACACCCTTGCTAGCTTGGTAATAGACCCAGACAAGCGCAGCCACGAGACGCCGGTGGAAGAAAACGCTCGGAACGAGCGCTTCCACCCCCAAAACGCGGAACGATCCGCACATGCGCAGGATGTGCAGCGGCGCTCTTCATTTGCAACGACGATGACCGATGATGCTCACAACCCTCCCACACCCTTGCTGGCTTGGTAATAGGCCCAGACAAGCGCAGCCACGAGATGCTGGCGGAAGAAACGCTCGGAACGAGCGCTTCCAGCCCCAAAACGCGGAACGATCCACATGTGTGCAGGAAGTGCAACGGGCGCTCTTCATTCCCGAGCGCCGATGACCGATGATGCTCGCAACCCTCCCACGCCCTTGCTGGCTTGGTAATAGGCTCAGACAAGCGCATTGACGTGACCCGGCGGAAGAAATTCGCTCGCAACGAGCGCTTCCACCCCCAAAACGCGGAAGGATCCGCACATGTGCAGGAAGTGCAGCGGACGCTCTTCATTCGCAAGCGCCGATGACCGATGATGCTTGCAATCATCCCACACCCTTGCTGTCTTGGTAATAGGCCCAGACAATCGCAGCCATGTGACCCGGCGGAAGAAAAACAAAACGCTCAAAGCGAGCGCTTCCACCCCCAAAACGCAGAACAATCTGCACGTGTGCAGGAAGTGCAGCGGGCGCTCTTCATTCGCGAGCGCCAATGGCTGATGATGCTCGCAACCATCCCACGGCCTTGCTGGCTTGGTAATAGGCCCAGACAAGCGCAGCCACGTGACCCGGTGGAAGAAAAACGCTCGGAACGAGCGCTTCCACCCCCAAAATGCAGAACGATCCGCACGTGTGCAGGAAGTGTAGCTGACGCTCTTCATTCGTGAGCGCCGATGACTGATAATGCTCGCAACCATCCCACGCCCTTGCTGGCTTGGTAGTAGGCCCAGACAAGCGCAGCCACGATCCGGCGGAAGAAAAACGCTCGGAACGAGCGCTTCCACCCTCAAAACGCGGAACGATCCACACGCGTGCAGGAAGTGCAACGGGCGCTCTTCATTCCCGAACGACGATGACCGATGATGCTCGCAACCCTCCCACGCCCTTGCTGGCTTGGTAGTAGGCCCAAACAAGCGCATTAACGTGACCCGGCGGAAGAAAATCCCACCCCCAAAACGCGAAAGGATCCGCACATGTGCAGGAAGTGCAGTGGGCGCTCTTCATTCGCGAGCGCCGATGACCGATGATGCTCGCAACCCTCCCATGCCCTTGCTTGCTTGGTAATAGGACCAGCCAAGCGCAGCCACGTGACCCGGTGGAAGAAAAATGCTCGGAACGAGCGCTTCCACCCCCAAAACGCGGAACGATCCGCACATGTGCAGTAAGTGCAGCGGGCGCTCTTCATTTGCGAGCGCCGATGACCGATGATGCTCGCAACCCTCCCACACTTTACTCGCTTGGTAATAGGCCTAGACAAGCGTAGCCGCGAGACGTCGGCGGAAGAAATGCTCGGAACGAGCGCTTCCACCCACAAAACGTGGAACGATCCACACTTGTGCAGGAAGTGCAACGGGCGCTCTTCATTCCCGAGCGCCGATGACCGACGATGCTCGCAACCCACCCACGCCCTTGCTGGCTTGGTAATAGTCCCAGACAAGCACATTAACGTGACCCAGCGGAAGAAAATCACTCGGAACGGGCGCTTTGACCCCCAAAACGCGGAAGGATCCGCACATGTGCAGGAAGTGCAGCGGGCGCTCTTCATTCGCGAGCGCCGATGACCGCTGATGCTCGCATCTCTCCCACTCCCTTGCTGGCTTGGTAATAGGCACAGGCAAGCGCAGCCACGTGACCTGGCGGAAGAAAAACGCTGGGTACGACCGCTTCCACCCTCAAAACGTGGAAGGATCCGCGCATGTGCCGGAAGTGCAGCGAGCGCTCTTCATTCGCGAGCACCGATGATGCTGGCAACCCTCCCACGCCCTTGTTGGCTTGGTAATAGGACCAAACAAGCGCAGCCACGTGACTCGGCGGAATAAAAACGCTCGGAACGAGGGCTTCCATCCCCAAAACGCGGAAGGATCCGCACATGTGCAGAAAGTGCAGCGGGCGCTCTTCATTCGCGAGCGTCGATGACCGATGATGCTCGCAACCCTCCCACGCCCTTGCTGGCTTGGTAATTGGACCAGACAAGCGCAGCCGCGTGACTCGGCGGAAGAAAAACGCTCGGAACGAGCGCTTCCACCCTCAAAACTCGGAAGGATCTGCACATGTGCAGGAAGTGCAGCGGGCGCTCTTCATTCGCGAAGGCCGATGACCGATGATGCTCGCAACCCTCCCACGCCCTTGCTGGCTTGGTAATAGGACCAGACAAGCGCAGCCATGTGACCCGACGGAAGAAAAACGCTCGGAACGAGCACTTACACCCCCAAAAGGCGGAAGGATCCGCACATGTGCATGAAGTGCAGCGAGCGCTCTTCATTCGCGAGCACCGATGACCGATGATACTCGCCACCCTCCCACGCCCTTGCTGGCTTGGTAATAGGCCTAGAAAAGTGCAGCGACGTGACCCGGCGGAAGAAAAACGATCGGAACGAGCGCTTCCAGCCCCAAAACGCGGAATGATCCGCACATGTGCTGGAAGTGCAGCGGGCGCTCTTCATTCGCGAGCGCCGATGACCGATGATGCTCGCCACCCTCCCATGTCCTTGCTGGCTTGGTGGTGGTGGCAGTAGTGGTGGTGGTGGTAGCAGTGGTGGTGGGAAATGGTGTTGGTGGTGTTGGTGGTGGTGGCAGTGGTGGTGGCGTCAGTAGTGAGTGGGGGAGGGGGGTGAGTGCAAGCGGGTTGTCCCAATAGCCGCACGTTCTCAGTGGAACCTTCTCAACCCTGCGGCCGGGGGTCTGGGTTGGAATCCCCTCTAGCCACGTTGGTGAGGGCCTCACGCCTTGCCCTTGCTCCCCTTGCCCACTCCTGCTCGCACATTCAGAGGAGGCAGAGTGGTGAGAGAGGGTGGAGGTGAAGTTCCCTGAGGGAGTTTGCAGCAGAGCAGGGAAGGGGGCTAAATCCTTTCAGAGTAAGGCTGTTGAGGGGCAATGGGGGGGAAGGGGGTTGAAACCCCCAGGCTGAAGCGAGCAAGGGACAGGGAATTCCCCCTCCTCTTCCTTTTGCCCGCTTTAACCTGGGTGTGTCAACCCTCTCCTCTACCTCTCGACCTCGTTACTCTGGGGTGTTCAACCTCCTTCCCTGCCTTGCTGTCACCTCCCTCAGAAGAATTCATCTCCTCTCTTTCTCCGCCCCATGCTCACTTCCTTACTGCTGATGGTGGTGGAGAGTGGTGGGAGAGGCTGGAACGATGTGGTGATGTGGATGAGATGTCATGCTGGGATGCCATGGCATGGCATGGCATGTGCAATGGTGGTGGTGGCGATTGCCTGTGGCACTTGGTGACAATATAAGTGAATGGTGGAAGGAAAGGCAACACAAGGCCACAAGTGTCCCTGAAGCCAATCTTGTTACTAGGTGGCAAACTTCATTAGGTGTGTTTAGGTTGACAGAAGTAATTCAACAGTAATGAACAAAATGAATGACTTACCACTGTTGGACCACTCAGGTTCCCTTCTGTGTGTTTTGAGCGGCATAATGCATACTGTACATGACATGCAGCAGTTTACTTATGAAGTTAAACGATTTCCATAATATACGGTACCCAGCCAGCAGCACTGCACTGTCCACAAGAGGTGAGGCAGTGAGCAGAGCAAGCTGGTAGCCTATGCCACATGATGCAATTATTGCCGAGTTACGGGGACAAATCAGAAAGGCAGAGCATAGAATATGAAGGACGGCAGTGAGAGGGGTAAGCTGGGAATGGAAGATGATGACGCAGCGAAGATCGGCCACCGGGAAGGGAAGGGAGAATGCTGGGTGCTGTATATATCTGCGGCGACGAACAAGACATGACTGAGAAGTAGGCTGAACTGGCACTGGAGTGGAGATGGTAGTAACCATTGTGGATGATGGGTGGTTGGAGGAAGGTGCGTGATACAAGGTACCTATGTAGCCTATGCCTCTCGGCTGTGGATTATGGGCTGGGAATGATAGTTGGAGAGCGCAAATCGGTCAGAGAGCGGGACTGGGGTCTGGGACGTGAAAGAAAGGTAAAGAAAGGGAGACTGGGAACGAGGGAGAAATGGGCAGGTGTCCACCCTTGATTAATCACTCTCTTACCCCTCCTCCGCCTTCTCCCATCTCCCTCCTCCTCCCCCCCACCTCCCTTCTCCTCTTCCCCTTTTCCCCCGTCCTCTCCTTCCCTCAATGCAGCAGCTGTCTCGGCTGCTCCACATATAAAGCCCCAGCAACCCCAAGAGCCGGGCCTACTACTGACGTCGGAAACACGATGCTTACTAGCGCGGCCACCAACCCTCCCACGAGCGGAACCTTCCTGATCGTTCCCTTAGCCATTTGCACCGCTATTACTCCGCCTGTGACGAAGAGCAGTAGGCGGCGCCCGCGATCCGCGGCGACGCGCTTTAAGACGCAGCGAGTGACGCGCTCGAACTCCGCGAAGGAGAGTATGGGCAGCTGCGCGAGCGCGGGATGGCGGGAAAGCGCGAAGTCGAGGTCGCGCGGGGTGGGCACGCGGAGGCAGACGCGGCCGGCGCGCGGATCTAGTTCCGCCGATATTCGCTGACAGGGGGAAAGAGGGGGGGAGGAAGGGAGATGGCGGGAGGAAGAAGAGGAGAAGTGGGGGAAAGGGTTGCGGGAGAAGGAACAGAAAATGGGGGGAGGAGAGGAGACCATGGGGACGGCGAGAGGTGCGAAATGGGACACGCAGGGGAGGGCAGGTGGAAGAGAGGGAGGGTGGGAGTGGCGGCGAAAGGTGGTGTTACTGGAGCAGGAAAAACGTAAGGGAGGCTTTACACCCAAACTCACACCCACCCTCACGCTCACCCTCGCACTTACACCCACCCACCAACACACCTGCAGCACGGCCTTGCACGCGTCTAGAAGCTGCGCCTGCTGAATGCCCGGCGCCGCGTCGACGCCGTCGGATGGCGGTTTGGATCGCTCCGAGAACGTGGCGGCCACTGCGCGCTGATACACCTCCAGGTCGTCCAGCCGCTCGTCCACGTGTCGCGACACGTGCGCGCCCATCGCAACGTCTCCTCTCCTCGCGCGCGCGACGCGGACCGACTCGCGAGAGTAGTTCACGCGGAGTGGAGCTTTGAAGCGCCGAAGGTAACGGTACCGGAGAAGTAGCTTTAGAACACCAGTGCGGGAACGAGATTAATGAGAGAGCATCGTGTTCAACAGGCGCTCGCAAGTAAAAGGAGTTTGTCACGAGCAGCTACGTCCGGAAGGAGTACGTGGACCGGGAGTAAGAGCGAGAGGAGTCGTTTCGGCGCTAGAATAAAAACCTCGTTGGGCGACGACGAGGGGCCTTGAAACAAGGTGGCTGAGAATGAGCTGGCGTTTCAAAGTGGGCGCCGGTGGCAACACGCGACAAATGTGTCAACAGGAGGTGACAATAGACTGAACGTTCAAAGCCGGCAAGGGTCACGCCCTAAGGTGCCGTTCTAGTTGAGAAGGAGCGCTCTATTTTCAGGCGCCTGACTTATAGACGCGCCCGACACAACCCGTAAAGCGCTAACTGTGCCGCGTATATTAACCCCTTTATCTGACGTTCCTATACAAGTGACAGCCTCGGCCTGCTTTCAGCCTGGACTTGACCTCCAGGCCTCTCACTAAAATGACCTTCGACAGCAGCAAAACTGAACACAAAGGCGCGGCAGCCTTTCCTCTTCTGCGTCGGGTTATGGGATCTCCTTGGTTTTCCCAGTGAAAGTGGAGGTATGGGCTGAGCAGAAGCTCCCTGCTGGGGAGTGTTTTTTGTGGAGGCGTGTTGTGGGGTGAAGTGTTGCAACGACGAAAGCGACACGTTACTGTTCATAGAAAACCGTGAGACTTTAAGGTAAGTAAGAACCCGTTTCTCGATTCCATGCTCTCCGGCAGTCGGTGGGAAAATTTTTGCCCCCACTAGTGGTCATCCACTCTACGCCGTCGATTAGCTCCGCCGATTGCGTCCAGCCAGAGATGCTGTGACTGCATCACACAACCACCCCGTAGCGGTGGGTTGACGAATTCGGGGCGCGCTGGATCAGTCGGTTGATAATCGCGAGCTGTGCGATCGATGGATGGACTGATGGACGGATGACATCCACCTTACGAATGATCGTCGCGGAACGACAGGCAGGAAGTGTTACACGTCAGCTCTGGTGGCGACCGACACAACTACAGACTCACGAAAGTTCGGACTAGCTCGATTGAATCACATTCAGATTGTCAAGTCCTCGCTAAAACCAGGAGCATTGTAGAAAATATTGCTATATCATCTCGAAGAGCTTAGTACACCAAGCAGCAACGGAGTTGCGACAAGCTGCATCATGTCCGCGTTAAAAGCCATCATCAGCGTCTATTCCCAAACCCAACCTTGAGAAACCAACGCTTCACCTCAACATCACGCCTAGCATCATTCCAACTGATCGCAATCCCAACCCAAAGCCCTCATTCGCATCAGGTTAGTTACCTCTAGGCCGCCAGGCTTTTCCCGCGAAGCCTCAGCGCCATGGCGAAGAAGCAGAAGCGGACAAAAAAATTTGTTCGCAAACATCTCACCAAGGAGATTGAGAAGCGCCGTCGCTTCAAGGTCATCAAGCAGCAGCGCGCCAAGCGCACTGGCGGCGGCTCCAGTAATCCCGAGGATGAAGTCGAGATTCAGAAAGGTTTGTACGTCTCGTCGCGTTCTCGCCTTTCGTTTTCGCCATTCCCAAGCGGGAGTTCAAAGTTCCAATTCATGGGTTTAGAGATCGTATCCCCGCATCCAGTTCGTAAGGTCAGGAATCTGCTTTCTTGTCTAGGTAGCATATCGTCATCTAATGGTGCTTCGCATGTGTTACTCACGTCATGCACACTTCGTTGTCCTCATTTAACCCCCAAGCAGCAGAAGCCCTCGGGATTGCCAAGCTTCCGCTGCAGCAACCGACAAAAGAGAAGAAGTGGGTTGAAAATTCATTACCAGGATCGCTAAATTAAATTTGTCTCGAAGGGTTTTCGTTAGTGCTGGTATGGCATCGCGGGGCTCAATCGGGTTTACGTTTTGGTTCCCTTCCCCTCACTTCCACGCTTTTTCTCCCCGCCTTCCGTCGTTTGCCCCCTTCCCCACCCCTGCCCGTCCCGCCCTCCCCGTTCCTCCCCGCTCTCCCCCCTCGCTTTCCCTGTGGGGCATGTTTTTGTCGCCGTATCTGGTTCCGGCTCGCATTCATTCGCACATCTCGTTACTCGTTTCGCATTCTTTTCGCCCGCATTCGATCCGCCAGGCGACTGGAAGACCTGGGCGTGGACGAGCTGCTGGGCATGGATGACTTTGAAGACCTAGCTGGTGGCGGCGAGGCGGGGGATGGCGAGGAGGAGGACGACGAGGATGGGGACGAGGAAGAGGAGGAAGAGGAGGAGGATGAAGAGGATGAGGAGGAGGAGGAGGAGGATGAGGAGGAAGAAGAGGAAGAGGAGGAGGTTGGGAAGGGAGGAGGATCGAAGCGTGCCAAGAAAGCGAAGGGGGACGAGGAGGAGGAGGATGATGAGGAAGGGGTAGGGGAAGATGCGGAGGTGGATGAAGAGGCATTGGAAGGAGAGGAGGGGTTTGAGGAGATCTCCCTCGCGCGGATCGGCATGGCGGAGGACGATGAAGACGAGGAGGAGGAGGAAGAAGCGGCGGAAGGGGCGGAGGCGGCGGAGGCGGCGGAGGGGGGAGAGAAAGTGGGGGGAAAGAAGAAGGGTGGGGACGCGGCGAGGAAGCGAAAGAGCCACCAGCAGCAGCTGGAGGCTCTAAAGAAGAAGGTAAGCGCTGGTGTGGGGAGTTACTAGGTGGTCGGTGACAGGGTTTAAGAAAATGTAGGGGCAAGGGGAAAGGGAAAGTGGGTATCAGGGGAAGGTTCTGCATTTTTTGTAGCATACCGTACTTCTAAAGTGGAGAACTTGGGAAGATAGTACCGTCCGTTGTTCTCAATAGGTTGTTCCAGGATCCTTCGGTTCAGGAGTACATCATGATTATGGGGTTTGTTGGGAATTCCTGGATTTTCTGGGGCTATTGGGGAGGACATGGACGGTGGTCTGTGGGTCTGGGCTGTATAATTGTGCTCGGGGTTGAGATGGGGGAGATGAAATGTTGCCGAATTCTTCTGTTGCTGGACTAGTTGAAAGGGTTTCGGGTTTTAGCAGGGTATTTCTTAGATCGTTGCTGAGACAGTAGCTGAAGAGAGCAGCTGTTCTTGTTTTGAGACGTCTCAAAAGCAGCTGTTCTTGATTTGAGACGTCTCAAAAGCAGCCGTTCTTGTTTTGAGACGTCTCAAAAGCAGCTGTTCTTGTTTTGAGATGTCTCAAAAGCAGCTGTTTGTTCGTCCACTTACTTCGGCTGCGGTTACCTTCTCCGTTCCATGCAATCTCGAGGCGGTGAGTAGGAGTGCCAAACTGTTTCCTTCTCTGCATCTCTGCCTCCGTCTCTGTCCCTGTCCCTCCGTGTCTGTCTGTGTCTCTCTATCAGGACCCTGCGTTCTACGAGTTCCTAGCGGAAACAGATCAATCCCTCCTGGAGTTCAAGGAAGATGCAGAGGGCAAAAAGGGCTCAGCAAAAGCAGCAGCAGCAGGAGGCGGCGAGGTGGAAGAAGGGGAGGAGGCAGACGAGGATGAGAGTGATGAGGATGGTGAGGAGAAGGGAGGTGGAGGAGGGAAGGGGAAGAAGGGCAAGTCGGGTGTGCTGCCAGTGCTGACGACGGAGATGGTGGACCGTTGGATCGAGGCGGCGATGGACGGCGGATCGCAGGGCGCGATGAAGAAGCTGATGCAGGCGTTTCACTCCGCGTGCCACGACGCGGAGAGCTTCACTGGCGTTGTGCGGAGATCCAGTGGGGGAGGGAAGGGCGGAAGCGGAGGCGGCGGAGGCGGAGGGAAGAAGAAGAAGGGGGGAGATGACGAGGAGGAGGACGAGGGAGACGAAGGGGAGGAGGGGTTTGGGTTGACGGCAGATGGGAAGATGAAGCAACGGGAGCGCAAGCCGCAGTACCGGCTTGCGAGCGGGAACGTTTTCAACCGTGTGATTCTCTTCGCGTTCAAAGAGACGGACAGGATCGTCCGGATCCTTCTCAGCGACGTATCCGACGGCAAGGGGCGCCAGAAGAAGAAGGGCGGGAAGGGCGGGGGAGATGGGGAGGAGGATGGGGGGGATGGCGACGGTGGTGGCGGCGGTGACAGCAAATTCGCGGGGAGGCTCGGGAAGAAGAAGCTGCGATCCCTCCTGCGGAAGCAGGCGAGGAGGGGGAACGAGGCGGACGCATGGGGGCGGGGGAGCGCAGGGGTAGACTCCATGGAAAAGCCATGGGAGGCCAGTCCCCGCTGGTCTAAAGTCAGCCAGATCGTCCGAAACTACCTCTCCACCGCCGTGCATCTGCTCTCCACTATGGCAGACTCCCGCTTGCTCACCTTCGCGCTGCGCTGTCTGAAACCGTCCATGCCGCTGCTCGCAAGCTTCCCGATCATCGGGAAGAAGCTCGTGCGGATTGCGATCCACCATTGGGGGTCTGGGGAAGGGTCCCTCCCGCTCGCCGCTCTCGTGGTGCTGCGGGAAATAGCGCTGTTTCTGCCGTCGGACTGGGTCGAGGCGATCGTGAGGCAGGCTTATAGGGAGTTTGCGGCGCAGTGCAAGTTCGTGTCGCCGTCCTCGCTGCCCCGGATTGCGTTCCTGTGTGCGGGAGTGGCGGAGCTGGCGCTCACGGACCCTGCGGCTGTGTACCCGCACGCGTTTGTGTCGATCCGGCAGCTCGCGCTGCTGCTCCGAGGGGCGCTTAGTATGAAGACCAAGGTGAGTGGCGTGGCGTGGCGTGGCATGGCGTGGCGTGGTGTGGTGTGGTGTGGTGTGGTGTGGTGTGGTGTGGTGTGGTGTGGTGTGGTGTGGTGGGTTGTGGTTCGGTGTGATCTGATTATTGTGCCGTCTGTGTGTCGGTCTGTGCCTGTGCGTCCTTTGTTCAAGTCGACTCAGAAGTCAACGCATCGGGGTTGATTGATACGGGGCAGCTGGCGCTGTTGCTAAAAGGGGCTGGCGCTGCTGCTAAAAGGGGTGCGCTGCAGCTGCTTAGTATGGTGCCGTCCATGCGTCCCACTCACCCCTCCCCCTTCCCTCCACTCCCCCATCTCCTCCCTCTCCCCCTCTCCCAGGACGCGTATCTCAAGGTGTACTGCTGGCAGTACATCAACTGCCTGCACCGCTGCGCCCCCCATATTACCTTTGTTAAATCTGCCTGCACCACTGTGCGCCCTCTCCCTCTGCCGTCCCCCCCTCTCCTCTCCCCCTCTCCCAGGACGCGTATCTCAAGGTGTATTGCTGGCAGTACATCAACTGCCTGCACCTCTGGACGCGCGTGCTCTGCGTGCAAGCAGCAGCGCACCAGCACCCGCACCACTCCCCCTCCCCTTCCTCCTCCGCCTCCGCCTCTGCCTCCGCATCAGCTGTGGCGGTGGCAGCAGCAGCAACTCCTCTAGACGCAGCCTCGCACGGCAGTCGCTCCCCGCTGCTGGCGCTGGTGTATCCACTCGCGCAGATCATAGCCGGGGTGGCCCGCCTTGTTCCCACCGCGCGCTACCTGCCTCTGCGCTTCCAGTGCACGCGCATGCTCTCGCTGCTGTCTTCTGCCACCGGTAAGGCCTGCTTTCTCTTGCTTTGCTGCTCTCCGCTGCCACCGGTAAGGCTGCTGGCGCTCGTGTATCCACCACTGGCCTAGATCGTAGGGGCCCTCTAGACGCAGCGTCACACGGCAGTCGCTCCCCGCTGCTGGCGCTGGTGTATCCACTCGCGCAGATCATAGCCGGGGTGGCTCGCCTCGTTCCTACTGCGCGCTACCTGCCGCTGCGCTTCCAGTGCACGCGCATGCTCTCCCTGCTCTCTTCTGCCACAGGTAAGGCCTGCTTTCTCTTGCTTTGCTGTTCTTGGCTGCCACTGGTAAGGCTGCTGGCCCTCAGGTATCCACTCGCGCAGATTATAGCCGGGGTGGCTCGCCTTGTGCCCACTGCGCGCTACCTGCCGCAGCGCTTCCAGTGCACGCGCATGCTCTCCCTGCTCTCTTCTGCCACTGGTGAGGCTGGTATTGTTTTGTTGCTCTCGCCCCGCCACGGGTAGGTAAGGCTGCTGGCGCTGGCGTATCCACTCGTGCAGGTCATAGCCAGGGTGGCCCGCCTTGGTGTCTTCTGTCCACAGGTAAGGCCGGCTTTGTCTTGTTTCTCTCCCTTGCCACTGGTGCGGTGAGTGAGTAAGGCGCCCAGTGCTGGTGGACCGTGGACGCGCCACAGATAGAGGAAGCGCTGTTCTTGCTCTTTCTTCTGTCCTTTCTTCTGTGAAAGCTCTACTTGCCTTGCCCCTCATCCTCCCCCTTCCCACTCTGACGTCGCCCCGACCCCTTGATCAGGGCACTACGTGCCAGTGGCGCTAGCGCTGGCCACTGGTCACTTCCAGCTGTGCTAATTTCGCTTGCCTCTCATCCCCCCTCGCTCCCTCCCTCCCCCACCCCCTTCCTTCCGCCAGGGCACTTCGTGCCAGTGGCGCCAGTGGTGATTGTGTTCTCCCCTCAACTTCCCCCAATTTCCTTTTCTCCCCCCCTCCACCCCTCCACCCCTCCACCAGGCCACTACGTGCCAGTGGCGCCAGTGCTGGTGGACGTGCTACAGATAAAGGAGCTGCACGTTCCGGTACTTCTATCTGTCCTAGCTGCACCTGGCCCTCATCCTTCCGCCCCCCTCCCCATCCCCCCTCCTGCCCTTCACCAGGCCACTACGTGCCAGTGGCGCCAGTGCTGGTGGACGTGTTACAGATAAAGGAGCTGCACCACGCATCGTCACACTTCCTAACCCAACTTCCGACTCCTCCCCTCCGCTCCAATCGCCCTTTCATCCCTTCATTCCGCCAGGCCACTACGTGCCAGTGGCGCCAGTGCTGGTGGACGTGCTACAGATAAAGGAGCTGCACCACGCTCCCTCAGGGGCCAATGTGCAGAGCATCAACCTCGCCACCTCGCTCAAGGTACCCTCACTCGCTCACTCTCTCCCTTGCTCCCGCATACACTTGCCCGCACGTGCTCTCTCACTTCTCCCCCATCCCCTCCTCACCCACCTCCCCTCTCTGATTTCCTCTTTCCTCTACTTCCCGCCCTTCCTCTCCCGCTTCTTCTCCCCCACCCTTTCCCCCTTCCCTGTCTCCAAACCACACACCCTCTCTCCTCTGCCTCCTGCTCTCCCTTCTCCCCTCTCCCCTCTTCTCCCTACCCCCTGCCTCTCCCCGCTCCCCACCGCAGGTGCCCAAGCAGGTGGTGCGGTCAAAGACCTTTCAGGAGGCGGTGGTGGAGGAGGTGGTGCTGCAGCTGGCGCTCTTCGCCTCCCAGTGGAGCCTCTCCATCGCCTTCCCCGAGCTGCTGCTGCTGCCCTTCCCTCTTCACCTTTCCTCCTCCTATTCCCCCCTGCCTTCTCTTCCCCCACTCCCTCCTCTCCCTGCCTTCCCCCTTCCCCTCTCTCCTTCTCCCTCCCCCCTCTCCCCTCCCCGCTCCCCCCTCTCCCCACCGCAGGTGCCCAAGCAGGTGGTGCGATCAAAGACCTTTCAGGAGGCGGTGGTGGAGGAGGTGGTGCTGCAGCTGGCGCTCTTCGCCTCGCAGTGGAGCCTCTCCATCGCCTTCCCCGAGCTGCTGCTGCTGCTGCTCCCTCCTGCTCCCTCCCACTGTTTCACCCACCTGCTCCCTCCTCCTCCTCAACCCTCTCTCCCACTTCACCCTTCCTCTCACCTCCTGTCTCTCCCTGCTTTTCCTCCCCTGTCTCCCTCCCCTCCCCTCCCCTCCCCTCCTCCCACTCTTCTCCCTTCTCCCTCCACACACACACTCCTCTCCTCTCTCTCTCCACCCCAGGTCCCCAAGCAAGTCGTGCGATCGAAGACCTTTCAGGAGGCGGTGGTGGAGGAGGTGGTGCTGCAGCTGGCGCTCTTCGCCTCGCAGTGGAGCCTCTCCATCGCCTTCCCCGAGCTGCTGCTGCTGCCGCTCACCCACCTGCGCTCCTTTCACAAGCACTGCCGTGTGGACCGCTTCAGGAGGCAGATCAAAGGGTTGATTGACCAGGTGGGTATATATCTGTTGGTGGGGGGGATGGGGGGTTCGGGGGTGGGGGAAAGCTGCTGTTGCTGCTGCTGCTGCTGCTGCCGCTCACCCACCTGCGCTCCTTCCACAAGCACTGCCGTGTGGACCGCTTCAGGCGGCAGATCAAGGGACTGATTGACCAGGTGGGTAAAGAGAGTGTGGGCGTGGATTGTGGTTGGGTGGTGGGTGGGGCGGATGGTTGGACGGGTGTGAGGGATTTCTGAGGTGAACGGAGCGGGGAAGAAAGGGGGTTTGAGGGGTTGAGTTGAGGTGAAACTGCCGCTCACCCACCTGCGCTCCTTCCACAAGCACTGGGGGGTGGACCGCTTCAGGAGGCAAATCAAGGGGTTGATCGACCAGGTGGGGATGGATTTGTGGGAGTGGTGAGAAGGGGTTGGGGGGTTGGGGAGTGAAGAAAAGGGGGGGATGGGGGGTTGTGGGGTAGGGGGAAACTGCTGTTGCTGCTGCTACTGCCATCACTCACTCACTCACCTGTCCAATCGCCCCTTCAACAGAGGTGGTGGAGAGGGAGAGGAAGAGGGACGAGGTGTCCTATGGCCCAAGCAAGAGGCATCACCCAGGCGGCCTCTTTCCAATCGCCTTTCTGCTCTCTCCCTCCCTCTGCCATCAGATCGAGCGCAATGCAGAGGTGGTGGAGAGGGCGAGAGACAAAGTGTCATACGGCCCGAGAGACATCACGCACCCAGGCCGCCTCGTTCCAATCCCATCTCTCTCAACTGCATCTCTACATTTTCCCTACCCCTGCCATCAGATCGAGCGCAACGCAGAGGTGGTGGAGAGGGCGAGAGACAAAGTGTCATACGGCCCGAGAGACATCACCCAGGCTGCCTCGTTCCTCCAGGTACCACTCACTCTCTGCCATAGATTTTTTAGAATTCTTATAAAGTGTACCACCCTCGCTGCCTTTGCCATGCAACCACCCACTTTTGCCCCCCTCCTTCCCCGCCCAACTTTGTTGTTGAATACGATAAGTACGAGTAGGTGATTTTTTTTTTTTTTTTTTTTTACATTGTGTGACCTTGGCCGCACGGGAAGGGTGTCATTTCACTCTTCCTGTCGCTCCTTCTCTCCCCCTTCCTCTCCACCTTCCAACCATCTCGGCAACCTGCGAGTGCTTCTGCTCTGTTATGTGTGTGTGCCTATCAGGAGGAGAGGAACAAGGGGAGCAATGCACTGGTGCGGTATGCGAGTGAGATGCAGCGACAGGTGGAGACCAAGCGACAGAAGCTCGAACCCGCAGAGTACGTTCCTTGTCTGCAATTGGGAGTTTTCTAGACGTTGCCCTACTCCCTTTGAGAAATCAAGAAAAAAAACAAAACAAAAAAATGGTATGATGACCTTTCTTGCCACGTCCCTCTCTTACCTCTCTCCCTCTCTCGCCGGGCTCTTGCAACGACATAACGGCGGCTCATTCCGTTTCTGTGGGGTGTATGCCGTTGCTGTGTGCGTATGTGCATGTGTGCAGGCTGGTGTTCAAGGATGAGGAGGATGACACGGGCAAGAAGGGGAAGCGCGCTGCTGACAGTGACGACGACGACGATGATTCTGATGGTGATGGTGATGACTTTGGGAGTGACGAGGAGGGTGCGGATGGGGAGGGGAGTGAGGGCGAGGAGGGAGACATGGGAGAGGAGGGAGAAGCGGGAGAGGAGGAAGGGGAGGAGGAGGAGCAGGAGCGTGCCAAGGCGTCTAAGAAGCGCGCTCGGGAACCTACTACTGGAGGGGCTAAGAAGGGCAAGGCGGGTAAGGCGGGCAAGAGTGCTGCTAACAGGGCTGCTTATGACGAGGATAACGATGAGGATGTGGTGAAAGACTTTGAGCTGTCGGAAAGTGAGAGTGAGGATGAGATGGGAGGAGGGGAAGAGGATGATGATGGGGAGATGGGAGATGACAATGGAGAGGGCTTTAGTGATGATGATGATGAGGAGGATGATGAGGAAGAGGATGAGGATGATGAGGAGGATGAAGAGGGTGATATGGATGGTGGGGAGGAGGATGGGGATTTGGATGCTATGGGATTTGGTGCGGGTGGTGCGAAGCGAGGGAGGGGAGCGGGGGGAAGAGGGAGGGGACGAGGAGGGGAGGGTAGAGGCCGTGGTGGGGGAAGGGGCCGGGGAGGAGGTCGGGATGGAGGAGGAGGGGGGGGGGAGGGGGGGGTGATTGGGGTGGGAGGGGCGGCGGGAGAGGAGGCGGGAGAGGTGGTGGGAGAGGTGGGAGGGGAGAAGGCGGGAGGGGTGGAGGGTTTGGTTCTTCCCCTGGGCATATGGCTAAGCGGCCTAGGTTTGATAGTGATGGGGGGGAAGGGGGGGGAGGTGGTGGGGGAGTAAGGGGGGGATGGGGAGGCGGAGGGGGAGGGCGTGGAGGTGGAGGGAGGGGAAGAGGTGAAGGATGGGGAGGAAGGGGAGGGGGAGGGGGAGGGGTAGGACGGGGAGGTGGAGGACGGGGAAGGGGGGGGCGAGGGGAGTCGAGAGGGGGAGGGGGAGGCAGAGGCGGTCGGGGCTTTGGGGGCTTCGGGGGGAGGGGACGCGGTGGGGGGCGTGGAGGAGGGGGACGGGGGGGAAGGGGAGGAAGGGGGGGAAGGGGGGGTGGTGATTTCTGAGTTCAGTCGGATGCTGCCATATGAGAGAGAGGTGGAGGTTGGTGGAGAGGAGAGAGGTGGAGGGTGTCAGAGAGTGGTGAAGAGTGGTAGAGGGTGACGAGAAGAGATCCCGAGCTGAGACGCCAGGGTTGTTGTGTGAGTCGGCGGTTTGAGCATCCAGTGAAACGCCAACTAAGGAAAGAGAAGCCCCCCTGCCTGCTCCCTTGGCTCTGGCTTGTGCTGGGCCTGGGTAATGGTGGGATTGTGGGATGAGGGGATTTAGAAAATGCACTGCTGCTGCTGCTTGTGGAAATGAGATTTCTGGGCTATCGTTGCTGGGCACTGAAGGAATTTCTGACAATCTTATACCATAATAAAAAAAAATGTATCACGTGGTATGTTGGGTTGGTGTTGAATGTAGTGTTGACGCGTATCAGCAATTCGTTGAGCACGACCTACAGGTCAGCTCATCCAATTTTGGTGTCATCTAGTCATCACACCACATTGCTTGCACATGTTCTCGGCAGCCAGGCCTTGTTCAAGTGAAACGTGAACATATACCGGATTTAATTAAACATAAATATTAATAAATCAGGATGTCATCTAATCAACTGTACACAACTATGTTAGAACTAACACGAACCAGTTGGCAGCTACTGCACTAGGACTGGATTGTTAATTGATGTTGCCGCATCACCATCCCATCTGCACTGGACACAAACTCAGCTTTCAGGCTTTCACCTGGGACAATGGACAAAGGATGAGGGACAAGGGACAAAGACAAGGGGAAAAGGACAAGAAGAAGATTTGACATGGAACAAGGGACAACCCCATGCGAAGTGAGATTAAGGACACATGTTGAAGAGTGTGGAGTGGTGTGGTGTGGAGTGGAGTGGAGTGGAGTGGTGTGGTGTGGAGTGTAGTGGTGTGGTGTGGTGTGGTGTGGTGTGGTGTGGTGTGGTGTGGTGTGGTGTGGTGTGGTGTGGTGTGGTGTGGTGTGGATATGGGATGGTGTGGATGGAGGTGAGGAGTTGGTAGCTGTGGCAGCAAACTACAGCACATGAGTAAGAGCATTCTCTGCTTCATACCTTTGAGGAAGCATGGCACCCATATGATGTCATCAGGAAACATTCCCCCTGCATGCCGTGTGATGAGTGGACAGCGGGGAGGGAAGTTTAGCGCGGGACACTTGTATGTTGTGGTCATGCATGGGGGATTGCATACAGGCATGTGGATACGCATGTAGTAAGGCATGTGGTAATGCATCTGGAAATGCACATGGCAATGCACAGGGTAATGCATGGCATAGGGTCAACACAAGGGCGCACCATAGGGAATGTCGGAGGCGGGAAACCACTGCGGAATCATCTCATCACTGGCACACACTTCCCCCGTGAATCTCTCCACTATATACACGTGCACCTGCCACCAAAAAAAGGAAAACAAAAAAAGAGGTGTATTCCCGGTGTTTAGCCACACTATGTACACATGGACCTGTCGCAGCAAAAATGGAAGATAGTAAGAGAAAAGGGGAAGAATGTGGGGCAGTGTGCTTGAAGCCGCACCTGAAACGGACCGCCTCACTTGCCATGGCTTGGGCTGTCCGTCCAGGCCGTGGGTGTAACAGCAGCTCAGCGCGCTTCTCAATCCTCTCCAGGCTGTGTTTGTGGGTCGATTCTCGAAACCCACCGCTTCTCCTGCCACGGGCTGTCCGTCCAGGTGAAACGCCCCGCTTCACCTCGGCGCGCTTCTCAAGCCCCTCCAGGCTGTGCTTGTGAGTCGACTCGAAACGCATCGTTTGTGTGGTTTAACTCACCTGCCACGGCTTGGGCTGCCCGTCCAGGTGAAATAGCAGCTCGGCGCGCTTCTCAAGCCCCTCCGCCACTAGACCCGCCTCCTCCTGCAACTGAAGGGGGGGAGGGGGTGGCGCAGTGGGGGGATGGGGGGATGGTGTCGTGAGAAAGGAGTTGGGGGGGATCGTGTAGTGAGGTGATGGAGGAGACGGCACGTGACACGTGGCATAAGGCATGCGATCATGACACGTGGCAAATGACAGGTGGCACGTGGCACAAGGCACTCTACCTCGCGTGCAGCGGCGTGCTCCGTGGCTTCGCCCGGCTCGACTTTCCCGCCGAAGAACATCCAGAGACCCTTGCCGAACCTGCCAAAAAAAGGCATGGTCACGCCGTTTGAAGCACGGAGATACAAGAGGACAAACGGCACGCATGGTCACGCATGGTCACGCATGGTCACGCATGGTCACGCATGGTCACGCATGGTCACGCATGGTCACGCATGGTCACGCATGGTCACGCATGGTCACGCATGGTCACGCATGGTCACGCATGGTCACGCATGGTCACGCATGGTCACGCATGGTCACGCATGGTCACGCATGGTCACGCATGGTCACGCATGGTCACGCATGGTCACGCATGGTCACGCATGGTCACGCATGGTCACGCATGGTCACGCATGGTCACGCATGGTCACGCATGGTCACGCATGGTCACGCATGGTCACGCATGGTCACGCATGGTCACGCATGGTCACGCATGGTCACGCATGGTCACGCATGGTCACGCATGGTCACGCATGGTCACGCATGGTCACGCATGGTCACGCATGGTCACGCATGGTCACGCATGGTCACGCATGGTCACGCATGGTCACGCATGGTCACGCATGGTCACGCATGGTCACGCATGGTCACGCATGGTCACGCATGGTCACGCATGGTCACGCATGGTCACGCATGGTCACGCATGGTCACGCATGGTCACGCATGGTCACGCATGGTCACGCATGGTCACGCATGGTCACGCATGGTCACGCATGGTCACGCATGGTCACGCATGGTCACGCATGGTCACGCATGGTCACGCATGGTCACGCATGGTCACGCATGGTCACGCATGGTCACGCATGGTCACGCATGGTCACGCATGGTCACGCATGGTCACGCATGGTCACGCATGGTCACGCATGGTCACGCATGGTCACGCATGGTCACGCATGGTCACGCATGGTCACGCATGGTCACGCATGGTCACGCATGGTCACGCATGGTCACGCATGGTCACGCATGGTCACGCATGGTCACGCATGGTCACGCATGGTCACGCATGGTCACGCATGGTCACGCATGGTCACGCATGGTCACGCATGGTCACGCATGGTCACGCATGGTCACGCATGGTCACGCATGGTCACGCATGGTCACGCATGGTCACGCATGGTCACGCATGGTCACGCATGGTCACGCATGGTCACGCATGGTCACGCATGGTCACGCATGGTCACGCATGGTCACGCATGGTCACGCATGGTCACGCATGGTCACGCATGGTCACGCATGGTCACGCATGGTCACGCATGGTCACGCATGGTCACGCATGGTCACGCATGGTCACGCATGGTCACGCATGGTCACGCATGGTCACGCATGGTCACGCATGGTCACGCATGGTCACGCATGGTCACGCATGGTCACGCATGGTCACGCATGGTCACGCATGGTCACGCATGGTCACGCATGGTCACGCATGGTCACGCATGGTCACGCATGGTCACGCATGGTCACGCATGGTCACGCATGGTCACGCATGGTCACGCATGGTCACGCATGGTCACGCATGGTCACGCATGGTCACGCATGGTCACGCATGGTCACGCATGGTCACGCATGGTCACGCATGGTCACGCATGGTCACGCATGGTCACGCATGGTCACGCATGGTCACGCATGGTCACGCATGGTCACGCATGGTCACGCATGGTCACGCATGGTCACGCATGGTCACGCATGGTCACGCATGGTCACGCATGGTCACGCATGGTCACGCATGGTCACGCATGGTCACGCATGGTCACGCATGGTCACGCATGGTCACGCATGGTCACGCATGGTCACGCATGGTCACGCATGGTCACGCATGGTCACGCATGGTCACGCATGGTCACGCATGGTCACGCATGGTCACGCATGGTCACGCATGGTCACGCATGGTCACGCATGGTCACGCATGGTCACGCATGGTCACGCATGGTCACGCATGGTCACGCATGGTCACGCATGGTCACGCATGGTCACGCATGGTCACGCATGGTCACGCATGGTCACGCATGGTCACGCATGGTCACGCATGGTCACGCATGGTCACGCATGGTCACGCATGGTCACGCATGGTCACGCATGGTCACGCATGGTCACGCATGGTCACGCATGGTCACGCATGGTCACGCATGGTCACGCATGGTCACGCATGGTCACGCATGGTCACGCATGGTCACGCATGGTCACGCATGGTCACGCATGGTCACGCATGGTCACGCATGGTCACGCATGGTCACGCATGGTCACGCATGGTCACGCATGGTCACGCATGGTCACGCATGGTCACGCATGGTCACGCATGGTCACGCATGGTCACGCATGGTCACGCATGGTCACGCATGGTCACGCATGGTCACGCATGGTCACGCATGGTCACGCATGGTCACGCATGGTCACGCATGGTCACGCATGGTCACGCATGGTCACGCATGGTCACGCATGGTCACGCATGGTCACGCATGGTCACGCATGGTCACGCATGGTCACGCATGGTCACGCATGGTCACCCATGGTCACGCATGGTCACCCATGGTCACGCATGGTCACGCATGGTCACGCATGGTCACGCATGGTCACGCATGGTCACGCATTGTCACGCATTGTCACGCATGGTCACGCATGGTCACGCATGGTCACGCATGGTCACGCATGGTCACGCATGGTCACGCTTGGTCATGCATGGTCATGGTCACACATGGTCAGGCATGGTCACGCATGGTCACGCATGGTCACACATGGTCACACATGGTCACACATGGTCACACATGGTCACACATGGTCACACATGGTCACACATGGTCACACATGGTCACACATGGTCACACATGGTCACACATGGTCACGCATGGTCACACATGGTCACACATGGTCACGCATGGTCATGCATGGTCACACATGGTCACACATGGTCACACATGGTCACGCATGGTCACACATGGTCACGCATGGTCACGCATGGTCATGCATGGTCACACATGGTCACACATGGTCACGCATGGTCATGCATGGTCACACATGGTCACACATGGTCACACATGGTCACGCATGGTCATGCATGGTCACACATGGTCACACATGGTCACGCATGGTCACACATGGTCACACATGGTCACGCATGGTCATGCATGGTCACACATGGTCACACATGGTCACGCATGGTCACACATGGTCACGCATGGTCACGCATGGTCACACATGGTCACACATGGTCACGCATGGTCATGCATGGTCACACATGGTCACACATGGTCACGCATGGTCATGCATGGTCACACATGGTCACACATGGTCACAAATGGTCACACATGGTCACACATGGTCACGCATGGTCACGCATGGTCACACATGGTCACCGTGACACGTTCCGAGGCGCTTGTGTGTGAGACGTTTTGGCACGCCCCGAAATAAAAGCGAGCGGGAGCTATCAGAAATGCTGTCAGTGACGCCTGGCCTGGGCTCACCCTCTCTGCTTCCGACCTAGAAGAACCTTCCCGTCATGACACACCACGGCGAGCGTGAACTGCTTGGCGCGCTTGTCGATGCTCCAGAAGGACGACGACGACGAGGAGGAGGAGGAGACGGAGTTAAGACCCGTTTTCGTTTCCTTTTCTGACAAGCTGGCGGCAGGGTCGGAACGAGCGGCGGCGGTTGCGACTGCCAATGACGCGGGCTCCGACACCATGATGTGGTTACTCCTCTTGTGAATGGGTTTCGCAGACTTGGCAAATTTCGCAGGTTTCGCGAATTTCGCGTCGATGACAACGCTGGTGCTCGATGGGTATCGAGCAAAGCAGACTCGGGACTTGAGCCACGGAGAGGGTAGTACGGGTAGAGGTAGCGACGGAAGCAGAGCAAGAAGGTTAGCGAGAGAGAGAACGGGGACCGCGCGAGAACGACTAGGCAAAGCAATAGCTGGCGCGAATTCAGTCATGTGGTGGCTTCTCTCGTGTCCTCCTTGTCTGCTGAGGTATGTATGTGGGTGCGTGTTGTGGGACGAACATAACGGAATCCGTCAACCAGGTTGTCTTGCCACCGTCAACCTGACTGACGTTTGAACATGTGAAATTCAAAATTCCGAAATCTCGCTGGTGGGACCGGTGTTTCCTTACAGGGACACTCGTTGCACCAGAGCTTCGGATCTGATGCTAGTATAAAAAGCGAATTCACCTTATACCGTAATATATACAGAGTCACCTTGGGGCTAACACCGCAAGCTCACGAGGAACTGGATTCGCAGTGGACTTGAGAAACCCCACAAGATCAGGCAGCAACGGCCGTGAAGACTTATTAACAAAGGCCATGGCTATTCCCGGTGCTCCCAGATGCCCTGCTCGACCAATCAAATGAACATAATCCTCCATACTCCTCGGCATGTCAAACACCACAACCTGCGACACCTTGGGAATGTGAACCCCACGCCCAAGCACTCCAACCGTAGACACCACCACAGGAATTTCCCCCGTTATTAATCGCGCGACGATGTTACGACGGTCCGGGGCCGGCTTGCCGCTGTGCACAGAAGCTGCTTCGAGGCCGGTGAGTTGGTGGATGGTGGAAGAGAGGAGGTCTGCTCCATCTCGGGAAGAGACGAAAACAAGGATGGGCGGGCGGAAGTGCCGCGGATGGCAGAGTATGTCGCAGAGCTTTGCCTTCTTGTGCTTCTCCTCCACCCAGATAACAACCTACACGTGCGAGTGGTGACGAGTATGTTGGAAGGGGGAAGCATTCTTGCAAAACAGGCATTCCGCATGGATTGGTGCTTGAGAGGTAAAGGACAGAGGAAGGGAACGGTGGAATGGTATTGGGGGGAAGGGAATGAGGGAGGGGGGGAAGCCAAAAGGGGGGAAAGGGGGGAAGGGGGGAAGGGGGAGTTAAGGAGACGGGTGGGCTGGTTTACCTGCTTGACATGGTTGGAGGTGAGTGCGAGCCCATTATTGTCCATGGGCGTGTGTGTGCATGAGATGGTGATGGGGGAGTGCATGAGCGATGCAGTCATATCCTGCACTGCCGGGGACACAGCGGCTGATACCAGCACCAACTGCCAGGAACGACGGCTGCTGCTGATGATGTTGGGAGTGCTGGTGGTGCTGCTGCTGCTGGGAGCACTGCTGCTGGTGGTGGTGGCGGCATGGTGATGCTGATGCTGCTTCGCTTTGCAAGGCTCCCCCGGGTGTGTGGCAGATGCTAGCTGTGAGAGGATGTGCTGCAACTGCTGGGCGAACCCACGCTGTGGCGTTGGAAGAAGGTGGGTGGGGAGGGGGAGAGGGAGGGGGATGAACTTTTGAGGTGCCTCAAGAGAATGTGCTGCAACTGCTGGGCGAACTCACGCTGTGGCGTTGGAAGAGGGTGCATGGGGAAGGGGGAAGAAGGAGGAGTAGGGGAGAGGGAGGAATAGAGAAAAGGGGTGTGGGAAATAGAGGGAGAAGGGAGAAAGGAGTGAGGGCAGGATAGGGAGAGAGCTAGTGCGAAATGGGGCTGCACCCTCCCATCCCATCCCATCCCATCCCATCCCATCCCATCCCATCCCATCCCATCCCATCCCATCCCACCCCATCCCATCCCACCGCACCCCACCCACCTGCACCATGGCATCCACTTCATCCACCACCACGAGTCTCAGCGCGCGCCACAACGCCCGCCACCCAACCACCACCTTCCCTCTCCCTGCCACTGCAAGCTCGCCCTGTCTGCCGCTCTCCGCTCCCTCTTTGATGCCACCAGCTGCACCACCAGCAGCACCACCAGCACCAGCACCAGCACCAGCAGCAGCACCAGCAGCAGCACCAGCAGCAGCACCAGCAGCAGCACCAGCACCAGCAGCAGCACCAGCAGCAGCACCAGCACCAGCACCAGCAGCAGCGGAGCCACCATCACCAGAAGCAGCACCAGCGGCACCACCACTAGCAGCACCAGCAGCAGCGTCTCCTTCTCTAAGCCCCTTCTTCATGTGTTTAAACAGCTCTATCAACCGGCCTGGCGTTGCCACCACCACCACCACCGCACAACCCCGCTCAACTCCTCCGCGCCCACCACCACCTCCCACTCCAACCTCTCCCTTCCCCTCTTCCCCTGCTTTGCTCCCTCCATCCCCTCCCTTTACCCCTAGACTCTCTCCACTCCACACTTCTTCCCATACTTCCGCTCTTCTCCTCTTCCTCCCCCCAGCGCCCAGCAACCCCGCTCCCTCACCCCCCTCCCTTGTTCCCACACTCCACTCGCCTGCCACTCCCCGCCACAGCCGCCCCATCTGCACCTCTGTGGACTCGCCCCCAACCAGCAGCACTGACCGCACAGCACCTGTCCGAACCGCATCAGACCGAACCACACCTGACCGCATGGTGCCTGCTGCACTTCCTCCCAGTTTGCGGCCATCCCGCCCTCCCAACTCACAGTTAACCTCTGCTGCACACCTAGTATCTGCTGCACCTCCCCTCAGCAGGTTCTTGATACTCTCGTGGTGCTGCACTGCCTTTCGAGACGTCTCAAGAGACGCGGGAAAACTCTCTGCTGCACCTCCCCTCAGCAGGTTCTTAATGCTCTCGTGGTGCTGCACTGCTAGCTCCCGTGACGGCACCAGCACCACCGCCACCACGCCTCCCATTCTCCTCCCACGCCCCCGCCTCCGCTTCACAGGGTGTGGGGCAGGAGGGTAGACGGGATGAGTGAGCTTTGCCGAGTGCAGAGAGAGCAGAGGGTGCGGAACAGGCGAGGAGACGGGTCTAGGCGTGACGCGGGGACCGGGACCGGTTATGTGTGGGAGGGGGAGGAGGGCGAGGGCGAGCAGAGGCAGGAGGAAGGAGAGGGATTTGCCAGAGCCGGTGGGGGAGGAGAGGAGGGCGTCTCTGCGGGAGAGGATGGCTGGGATGGCTTGCATCTGGATGGGCGTGGGCGTGTGCACACCCATGCGCTGCTGCAGGTTGCGCAGGATAATTTCCATGGCTGCGTTGAGTGCGTTGACTGCGTTGACTGTGTTGTTGACTGCACTGAATCCGAGCTGTGTCAGTGCGGCAAAGTCGAGGATAGGTGGAGAAATTGGGGGTTCTCCGTGCACGGTTATGCCCTCCCTTGCACGGATTTCTGCTGCTATTGCTGCAGACATGCTGCTTTGTATCACATCAAGAGACGTCTCAGTGCTGTTGCTCATGTCTAGGGTTGTATACTCCTCGTCCTCATCCTCTTCTTCCGCCTCCCATTCCTCCTCTTCCTCTTCCTCCTCCTCCTGCTCCTCTTCCTCCTCTTCAATTCCTCCCTCACTCCCCTTTCCAAGCTCCTTCTCCCTCACTCCCTGCCCCTCAGCTTCCCCTCCCACCTTCCCGCACCTCTCTCCTCCTCCGCCCACCCTCCCCTCTTCGCCACCCCGCGCCTCCCTCCCTCTGACACGTGGCACATCCCCCGCAACACACGCCGCCTTGCACTCGCGGCTGCACACGTCCAGGTTCGTTGCATCACACACGTACTCCCCGTATCTCCCGCACACCGCGCACACCGGCTCCCCCGGCTCTGCTGCTCTCTGCTGCACGCTCCTCTCCTTCACCTCCTCTTCCTCCTCCTCCTCACTCTCTTCTTCCCCCTCATTTTCCTGCTCTTTCCCTTCCTCTTTTTCGTCCGTCCCTTCGTTGACTGTTGCTTCGTTCTCCGCCTCCGCTCCCCGCTCGTCCTGCTCCGCCTTCTCCGCCTTCTCCGCCTCTTCCTTCTCCCCTTCCGTGCCCGTTCTCGTTTCCGCCTCTACCCCTTTCGCGCCTCTCAATTCCTCTTCTTCCTCTCTCCGAGGTTCCTCTCTCGACCCTCTTTCTTTCTTTTCCTCTCGTATCCCGCACTCTTTCCCTTCCTCTCTCTTCCCGCTCTCCTTCCCTTCCTCTTTCGCTCTTGCATGACCCCCAACGCTACTTCCGTCTCCCCCTCTCTCCCTGCCCCCCGCTTTTCCGCCAACCGGTGCAGCTATGGCACACGCGGAATCCCCGCTCCTGCGCATAACCTCTCCGCTGATGGCGGGAGCATCTGAAGGCGGACTGCGCGAGTGCCGCTGTGGGAGAGTCGCGCGGGATTTGGCGGACGAACCCGACGGACGCGCTACCGCGCGCGGCAGGAACATGGTGTGGAGTGGAGACTGAAACACCTGGGGGAAGGACCTAGCGGGCTGGGCTGGGAAAGCAAAATGGCCAGACAGCCCCAGCTCGTATCCCTGGCTCGTATCCCTGGCTAGTGTCAAGATACTGTTGGTGTCAAGCGGGAAATTCGCTTGACACCAGGTGGAGCCGCGCCCGCACGCGGCTCCAGCCTGGTGTCAATGTTGGGCAGATTGGGCAATTTCCCGCGATCAGATTGGTCAGTTTAGCTGACACCAGGAGGACTAGTCCTCCAGCGTTTTCCGAGATAGTGTCATGACACGATCCACTCTTGACACAAAGCCAGGGATACGACCTGAAGCAGTTTGCTTCTAACAGCACGTGATTCAGGGAAAATGCTAAAACACCTAGTAAATTTTTGATCGTAAGGCGCTCCAACATAATTATGTTTATAATTGGCAACCATTTTGTAACTTACTACCCAATCGTTACAAAATCCTTCGCATCCCTCCCAACCTCGAGATTTGCTCGTTCCTGGCAGCAGTGACTGAATCTCCAACATCCGCCAATTCCCGCGCGTATTTTTACAATTCACATATAAGTACAGTATTCCCCCGAGGTTCCCATTTCCCCTCTCCCCCGCCGCCACCAGCACAAGCGTAACCACAGTATTCGTATCAAACCGAACCAGACCAAACTGGAACAAACTCGAAACGATCTGGACCGAATCGAACCAGTCACCTTGCCCAGACTCCACACCAGAAAGCAGAACTACAAACCCGAGTTCTGGTTTTCCAGACAGATCGAAGCAGCTTGATCAGTCCCCCAAGTCATGGCTTTTCGTCATCACCAGTGCATCTGGTGATGTGCGTGTCGGTCGGGACTCGGGAATCGGGAGTCGGAACCTGGTAGACCCTCGCTCCGCCGCCTGTGACGCTAATCTTCCCTGATCTAGCGCGCCCTGGCCCAAATTCGCTTCTGAGTAACCCTATTCTTCTTCTGCGTGCCAGGCCAGGCCGCGATCATCGCGATCGCCGCGATTGTCCCGATCGCCGCGCGCTCTTTCAGTCCCGCTTTCCTTTTCACCGCGTGATTCGGCCGACCTACGTGTCCCCCTGGATTTCTCCGTCTTGGGGGTTTCTCTGGATTTTCACTTAGGGTTTTCTCCAGCTAGGGTCGATGTTTTCTGGGAGCAAGAAGTACGGCACGCCAGGGAGGCGTCCCAGCCCGGCGACTGCACGCGACTCGCCGTCGCCGTCGCCGTCGCCGGCGGGAGCAGCAGGTTCCGCCGCGTCGCCGATCGCGGCGCAGAGCGCGCGCGCGGCGCACGTCACGGCAGCACTCTCCGCGATCCCCGGCTCGCCAGCATCACCAGGCCTCGGTGGGGGGTTCGTCTCTTCCTCTCCTGCTGCGTCGCAACCGTTCTCGTCGCCGCAACCGTTCCCATGGAATCCGTCGTACCAGCAGCAGTTTCCCGCCCCCGGTCGTTTTGGGTGAGCGTTCCTCGAGACCAAAAACAAATATAATAAAAAACAAAACATCACAAAAAAGCAGAAAATAGTTTTTTTTAAGCAATTTCGATCTCTCTTCCCCCAATCCCGATCCGTTCCATTTCAACCCGGTGTGAGCCAGAATGTCGAGTTTTCGTCCGAGCTTCTTTACATTGTTTTTATGTACCTTTTTCGTCTGAAATAAAATTGCAGCATTGCGCACGGACGGCAGATGTCAAACCCTAATCCTATTGGATCAATCTCCCGCTCCTCCCAGGTCGCCCGCGGGTATTTCTCCTTCACAGCGAAACCCTCAAGCCCCATCCCCGTCACAAGCGGCCGCGTTACATGGGATCGGCGGGGGAGGCGGGGGCGGAGAACCTGTGGTGGTGTGCGATTTGCCGGCGGAAGTAGTGGCGGCTCACGAGGAGGCCGTTCGCTCGCACGATGCAGGTGAGCCGTGTTGTTGTTTCGGAGGCGCTTCGTGTGACGGTGACTTTTGAGGCGCCTCAGAAGTAGTGGCGGCACACGAAGAGGCCGTTCGCTCACACGATGCAGGTGAGCAGTTGCGCTGTTTCTCTTGGATCTGCTGTATTTGCTCTGCCAGCAGTGGCTGTATGCTTCTAGGGTTTATCCCCATACTCATCGTTCCCGTTACTCTCAGTCTCTTCCTTTCTCACGCCCTTTCGCTCGCACAGCAGCCCAACCTCCCGCTCCTTTCCCCTTCTCCCCCGTTGCCCACACCCCATATCACGCTGCACCGCACTCCACCCCTCTCCGCCCTTCCAGCGTCCTTCTCCGCCCCTCGCGCCAGCCTTGATCCAGCGTCCGGCTACGCATGGGTGCAGATTTCTCACCGCATCTTTCTCTGGAGCTACGTCTCTGCCCGCATCCCCTCCCGCTGCCTCGTTCTCAACCTCCCCCGCTCCGCCCTTCCCGGCGGCGCTGATTTCGCCGCCGCTGGCGGCGGGGTTGGGAGCGGTGGAGGAGGGAGGGTGAGGGGTACTGATGGGCATACGTGGCTGGTCGGTCTTGTGCCTGTGTTTGCGGGGAGAGGGGAGGCGGAGGAACGGGAGGAGGAGGGGGAGGAGCAGGAGGATGAGGAGGAGATGGATGGGAGCAAGAGCACGGATGTGGCTATGACTATGGCTGTTGGTGCTGGTGCGGGGGATAAGCAAAGCAGCGGCACGAGGGAGGGTTCTTCTGCTGCTGCTCAGTCCTTCCCTAAGCTGGCTGCGTTGCGTGTGGTTGCGTGTTGCCGCCGCGTCATGTACGTCGCGTACTGGCCTAACGTCCTTTCTCCTGCCACTACTTCCACTGCTGCTGGTGGCAAAGGTAGTGGCAGTGGTAATGCGGCGGCTCCTCTTGAGCCGATTATAGCCAAGGCGCCGGAAGGGTGGGGGGTGGGGCAAGTGGGGAGAAAGGCTGGGAGCTTTGGGTCGTCCGCGAGAGGTAAGGACGTGGTTACGAGCTTGGCTGTGGTGGGAGGGGCGGGGGGGAAGGGCAGTGGGAGTCATGCGGCAGGAAGGGAGGGAGAAGCTGAACTGCAAGGGCAAGGGCAGCAGCGGCAGGTACAGCAACAGGAACGTGCATTTGTTGAGTGTGTTGCCGTTCTGGGATGCTGCAACGGCGATCTCTGGCGTGTGGAATGCACCTCGTCTTCTTTCCCTACCGCCCCCACCGCTCCCACTGTCCCTACTGCTTCCACTTCCTCCTTTGCGGCCGCTGACCGTTCGCCCTTAGCTTTCTCTCGCTTGGACAGAGGCGCGCAACCAGGTGGCGCCAGCGTGGCAGCAGTACAGTCCCTGACGGTAGTGCCGGCTGTGAGGGGAAGAGGGAGAGACGGAAGGGGCTCTAGGGGAGGGAATAGTAGAGGGACGAAAGGGCAATCGGGGACGGGTAGTGATGCTGGTGCTGGTGCTGGTGGTGGTGCGGCTGGTGATGGTGAGGATAAAGGTGGTGGGAGTGATGTGGGTGGTGGTGTGAGGAGGTCGAAACGGCTGTCTAAGGTGGTGGGGATGGCGCAGGCGCAGCAGCATGAGGAGGAAGGCGAGGGAATGGATACAGATACAGGTGCAGGAGAAGGCATGGGTGGGGGCAGTGAAACGGCTAAGAGTTTTGACGTGCTGCTGCTAACCGCAATCGGGTTAGAGCTCTGGCAGATCTCTCAGGAAGCAGGAGGGAAGGGCCGGCTGATCTGGGCCGTTGATCTGCTCTCGGATCCCGACGTGCAGAGGGCTCTGATTGGCCAGAAGCGCACGTGGCTTCTGGACGTCCAGGTCGCACCAGAGGCGACAGTTTCGTTTTCTCTCCCCCAGCAGCATTCCTCTCTCGCCCCTCCTCCTCTGCCTCCTCCGTCCCCTTCCCCCAGTCAACCGCCTACCCCGTTTTCGGCCCCGGGCATGGGTGGGAGGCAGAGAGGAGCAAGGGAGGGTAGAGGGGCGGAGACTCCTGGGGGGGTAATGACCCGGAGAATGGCTGCTAAGGCACGTGCGGAGAGAATGGGAGGAGAGGGGGCTGGAGCGGGGAAGAAGGAAGAGAAGCAGCAGCAGGAGCAGCAGCAGGATGGCATAGGGGACGGGCGGGGAGAAGCGGCGGAGGATGAGGAGAAAGGGGAGGAGGAGAAGGGAGGGAGGGGAGGAGGGGGAGAGAGTGGAGTGGATGTTGTGGTGCTAGCAGCCGTTCTGGTGAAAGACAGGAGCGTGGGGTTCGGAAGCTGCTTTATGCAGTACTGGCTGCTACGATTCGGCATAGTGCCCTCATCCGCCCCTGCCCACTGCCTGCCGTGCAACCCTCGCCCCCTGTGCGAGCCCCCGCCGTCCACTGCTTTCGCCGCCCCTGGAAACACCCCCTCCACTATCTCCGCTCCTCAACTGCCCTGGTCACCAGGCGCACAGAACGGAGCAGCAGCAGAGGCAGGAGCAGCGGCAGGAGGAGGAGGAGGAGGAGGAGGGGGAGAAGGAGGAGGAGCAGGGTCGCAAGCGGAGTTTCGGCTGAGGTTGAAGCAGCTGCCTCTGCTGGTGGTGCCTCGAGCAAAGGTAGAGGAGGAAGAGGCTATGTGCGCGCTCTCCCTGCGTCTAGGGGGCCGGCCGAAAGGCTCTGTGCTGATTCTCTCAGGTGACGGAGCAGCCACGCTGGTGCATCTGCAGGAGGGAGCGAGGGGGAGGCAGGAGGCTCGTGGGGCGGGGTATGGGGATGGGCGCGGGCAGGGGAATGGGCAGGGGAGTAGCGTGAGTGTGGTGCAGAGGCAGCTATATCAGGTTGATCCGATGGGGGTTATGGGGCGGGTTTTGGCTGCTGGGGTGTTCAGGAAGGGTAGAGGAGACTGGGAGGAGGAGGGAGGGGAGGAGGAGGAGGATGAGGAGGAGGGAGAGCGGGGGGAGGGCGGAAGAGTGGAGGTGAAGGGAAGGGGAAAGCGGCAGAAGCAGCAGCAGGTGGGGGATTGGGTTCTGCTAATGGAGAGAGGAGGGGTGTGTGCGTTGCCCGTGGCTGTGGCGGAGGGGAAGGGGGAGTTGGGGCTTCGACCTGGGGAGTTACGTGGGGGCGGAGGCGGAGGGGGGAGTGCTGGGGGGGGAATGTACGAAGGCGGGAGGGGGAGTGGCGAGGATTTGGCTCGTTTGGAAGAGGATGGGAGGGTGCGTGGCGCTGGTGGTGGGGACGGGGGAGGCCAAGGCGTGGCGTGGCGGCAAGAGGGGATGGAGGAAGGGGGAATGGAGGAGGGGAGGAGAGGTATGGACGTGCAGGCGGGAGAGGGAGGAGGGGGGAAGGCGAGGGAGGAGAGGGAGGAAGAGCAGGGCGAGGAAGAAGAGGAGGAAGAGGAGGAGGAGGCATGGGAGGAGGGAGGGCCGGCAGTGCTAGTGAGTAGCCTCTTTGACGAATTCCTGTCTGCTGCAGCTGCAGGAGCAGGCGGGATAGAGGCCAGCATTGCTGCTGCAGCGGATGCTGGAGCAACGGGAATCACAGGATCAGGAGGCGTCGGAGGAGGAGGACGAGGCGGGGGAGGAGGAGGAGGAGTGACAGGAGGCGAATCTGGGTCGTTGATTCTCCAGAGATTGCTGCAAGCAGGGGCGTTTGAGGCAGAGGGCGAGGCCAGTCCGTTTGTGCGCTGCAGCCTCTCTATCATCGACGCTCTCACCAAGCACTGGGGAGCAGACGATCCCCCCACCACCACCACCACCACCACCACCACCACCACCACCACCACCACCACCACCACCACCACCACCACCACCTCCGGTTCTACCCCTGGCGGTGGCGGGGGTACGGGGCGGGGAGAAGACAGAGGAGCGGTGGCAGCGCGTGAAGGGGGGGCGGCGGGGGGAGGGTTCTCTTCGTCTGGGAAGCTTGGGGTGAAGCAGTGGCAGCACGATCGGTTTCTGGAGTTCCTGCAGGTGTCGGGCGCACAGCAGGAGCTAGCCGTCAGGCAACGTAAGTTCTGTGACTCGTGGCTGGTTGACCTTGAGAGTTCTCAAAAGCAGTGTTGAGAATTCTCATCAGCAGTAGCAGCACACGATCGCTCTTTACAGTTACTGCAGGTGTCGGGTTACCACTCTCAGCCCTGGCTCTGCAACTGATTCTGGAGCACGGAGAGAGGCTGGCGTCTGTGGCTCATCTTAGAACCCTGCACTCCTCGCTCATTCCCCAACCCCACCCTTTCCGTATCCCCTTCCACCCACCCACTTGCAGCCCTGGCTCTGCAACTGATTCTGGAGCACGGAGAGAGGCTGGCGTCTGTGGCTCGCATATCTGTCTCTTCTTCTTCCTGACCCGTTCCCCTCGTCCTTCATCTCCATTTTTTCCCGAACCCTGCCCTCCCCTTGTCCCCTTTCCGCCCACCCACGCTCAGCCCTGGCCTTGCAACTGATCCTGGAGCATGGAGAGCGGCTGGCGTCTGTGGCTCATCTCAGGACCCTGCACTCCTCACTCGCTGCCCAACCCAGCCCTTTCCATATCCCCTTCTGCCCACCCCCTCACAGCCCTGGCCTTGCAACTGATCCTGGAGCATGGAGAGCGGCTGGCGTCTGTGGCTCATCTCAGGACCCTGCACTCCTCACTTGCTGCCACCGCCTCCAACCTGCAGCAGCAGCTGCAGCAGCAGCAGTCACAGCAGAACCAGCCGCAGCAGCAGCAGCAGCAGAGGCAGAAACAGAGTTCCCCCTCCCCGTTCGCCTCCCCGTACCTGCGGTCCGCACCCAGAGCTGCTGCTTCACCCTTGCACCACCACCACACTCCCATGTCAGCATCTGCGGCAGCTGCTGCCACTGCACGAGCAGCAGAAAGGTACGAAGAATCAGAGGAGGAGGATGCACGGATGGAGAGAGAGAGGGAGGCAGCAGAGGTGGCCTCAACGTCGCTGTGGCGAGCAGTGCAGGACGCAGGGGATAGGATCCGGAGGGGGAGTGTGTTTCTTTTGGAGAGGGATCGAAGCCAGGTGTTTTTTGCCCGTGTGTCGGAAGCTGGTCCGGAGTTTTTTTCGGCGCTTGCAGCTGCGTTTTCTGATGCGGCTGGTGCGGTGGAGAGAGGGAGGAAGGAGGAGGCGTGGGTTGCGGGTACTCGTGCCGCTGCTGCTGCTGCTGCTGCTACTGCTGCCGCTTCGGCTGGTGGTGGTGCTGCTGCTGCTGCTGCTGGTTTTGATGGTTTTACACGGTCGGGCAAGCAAGATGCACCTTTTACACCAGGAAAGTTCCACGAAGATCAGGGGGAGCGTAGAACCGGCACAAGCACTGGCACTGGCGAAGCAGCAGGAGCAGGAGGAGCAGCAGCAGCTTCCCCTTTTGTGCCTGCTTACCTCACTACCCCTGCCCCTGGAACACCTATCTTCCCTTCTTCCTCTCAGTTCTCCACTCCCTCGCACTTCTCTACTCCTGCTGCTACAGCCGTTACGGCCGCAACAGCCGCTACAGCTGCTACAGCTGCAACAGCTCCTGCTGCTACAGGCTTAGGCGCATCTGCATCTGCCACAGCTGCAGCAGCAGCGCGCAGGCACCTAGCCCGAGCAGCCACCCTTGTCGAAGCAGCAGTGGGCAGCCTCGGCTCGGCGGATCGGTACCGAACCGACAAGGCTCGGTGGTACCCGGACGTGGGGCGGCTGGCTGGGTCGGACCTAGGGGGGGTGCGCAGGGGGAAGGGGCGAGGGAGAAAACGGAGAGCGGGGGGAGGAGCGAGAGGAGGAGGAGGGGATGTGTGGCAGTGGGTGGAGAGGTGGGAGCCGTGGGCGTGTAGTGCTGCTGTGAGGGCTGCTCTGTGGTCACTGCTGGCTACGCTTATTCATCTCGAGTGAGTTACTTACTTCACCTCACCTCACCTCACCTCACCATACGTACACCCCCTCGGATGCAGTTCTTCTTATCCATTCCCCGTTTTTCTCGCTCTTGTGTTCCTTCCTCTTCTAATCCGCGTGTAGAGAGTCGATTTTTGAGTCGACTCAAAAATCGTTTTTCTCGCTCTTGTGTTCCTTCCTCTTCTAATTCCCTCTTGCTTCCACTCCACCAGCTCCCCCCCCGTTCACTCCTGTTATGTGCTTCTTCTCCCATACTAGTCGAAAACATTCCGTCCCACAGAAACGCGTCAGGATGGGATGGCCTTTTGGGCCTTTTACAAGTCAATCAAAAATTCCATTCCTCTCCACCCCCTTCCCTTCCATCGTTCCCTCCCACTTCCCGCCCCCCTCCCGCACCCTTTCCCCCTCCCCCCTCACCCTCCCGATCCCCCTTCTCCACACCCTCCCCCATCCCACCCCATCAGGGCCACAGCAGCATGGGACGAGGAGCAGGCCTCTCTCCTGCACCGCCTGTCGCTCTCCCTCTCCTCGCTGCTCCTCTCTGCCTTCGCCACGGCATTGGAGGCCAGGGACGTGGCGGGCAGGGGCGAGCAGGAGGGCGAGCAGGAGGGCGAGCAGGAGCAGCAGGAGCGGCAGGCGCTAGAGAGGGAGTTCTTCTGGAAGCGGGACAAATGCCAACCTCTGCCCCCCCCCCCCCTTTCCCCTCTACCTCCCTTCCACCTTCCCCTCCCCCTCCTCCTCCTCCTCCCCCTCCCCCTTCCCCCTCCCCACCTTCCCTCTCAACCCCACACCAGGGCCACAGCAGCATGGGACGAGGAGCAGGCCTCTCTCCTGCACCGCCTGTCGCTCTCCCTCTCCTCCCTCCTCCTCTCAGCCTTCGCCACGGCATTGGAGGCCAGGGACGTGGCGGGCAGGGGCGAGCAGGAGGGCGAGCAGGAGGGCGAGCAGGAGCAGCAGGAGCGGCAGGCGCTAGAGAGGGAGTTCTTCTGGAAGCGGGACTTTCTGCTCTCTGTGCTCGTGCAACGGGCGATTGCAGCAGCAGAGGCATCGGATGTATGTGTGGGATCTTTTTGTGGGTTTTGTTGGGTGGGTTCTGGTTGGGTAGGGTCAGGTTGTCTATGCAATGGTTTGGTGTGGTCTGGTTGGAGTAGCAGCAGGAGGGCGAGGAATAGCAGCAGGAGCAGCAGGCGCTAGAGAGGGAGTTCTTCTGGAAGAGGGACTTTCTGCTCTCTGTGCTCGTGCAACGGGCGATTGCAGCAGCAGAGGCGTCAGATGTACGTGCTCTGGTCTGGCTGTATGAATTCCTGTCTGTGTGTGTTTGAATTTCTGACTTGGCTGCCGGGAGTTCTTCTAGATGAGGGACTTTCTGCTCAGCGTGCCCGTGCAGCGGGCGATCGCAGCAGCAGAGGCGTCGGATGTACGTGCTCTGGTCTGGTTGTCTGGGTGTATGGATTCTGCCTGTGTCTTGTCTGCTCAGCGTGCTCGTGCAGCGGGCGATCGCAGCAGCAGAGGCATTGGATGTATGTGCAGGATGGTTGAGTGGGTTTTGCTGGGTGGGGTATGGTCGGATAGGGTCTAGTTGTCTGTGCAATGGTTGGGTGGGGTCTGGTTGGGTGGGGCCTAGTTGGGTGGGCCCTAGTTGGGTGGGGCCTAGTTGGGTGGGCCCTAGTTGGGTGGGGCCTAGTTGGGTGGGGTCTGGTTGGGGGCCTCTCAAGGTCTGGTTCTGTTTTTTATTGTGCTGCATCCATCTCCTAGGCGCGTTCATATGTTGGCTGCTTTTACTTTCTCGTGATGCGATGCTCTCTGTGCCATCATTACATTCTTCACTGCTGCATAGCTTTTTCTTGGCCACACTGCCAAACCTGCCGTGTGATTCTTTACATTCCGCACCGCACTGTTTATGTCTGTAATCAGTGCAGGCACTCTGTCTGTCCCTCAACCCCCGTTACCCCACCCCCACCCCCACCCCCACCGAAACCACCATACCCCACTCAACCCCACTCCACCCAACCCCAAACCCATCCCACACCAGGACCCCGCAGCCTCGCTGAGAGCCGCTCTAGCAGCGCCGTTCGCCCTGGCTCGGCAGCACTGCAGCTACGCCACGCTCTTCCACGTCCCCACCCACCCACCCACCCACCCACCCACCCATGCACCCCCACCCCAACCCGCCCCACCTCATCCCACCCCGCACCACCGCAGGACCCCGCGGCCTCGCTGCGAGCCGCCCTAGCAGCTCCATTTGCCCTGGCGAGGCAGCACTGCAGCTACGCCACGCTCTTCCACGTCCCCACCCACCCACCCACCCATTCATCCAAACCCGCCCCACCTCATCCCACCCACCCGCCCCACCAGGACCCCGCGGCCTCGCTGCGGGCGGCGCTAGCAGCGCCGTTCGCCCTGGCGAGGCAGCACTGCAGCTACGCCACGCTCTTCCACGTCTGCCGCTACCTGCAGGACGTTGCATTGCTCGAATCACTCATGGTGAGGCCTGGTTGTGGGGGGGGCTTTGGCGCCCTGTGAGGTTGCCTGGGAGTACTTGGGGATGCATGGGGGTGCGTGGGGGGGCTGCGGCAGCACTGCAGCTATGCCACGCTCTTCCATGTCTGCCGCTACTTGCAGGACGTTGCATTGCTCGAATCACTCATGGTGAGCTATTTGGGGGTGCCCAAGGGTGCGTGAGGGTGCTGCTCGGGGATGCCCGGGGATGCTCGGGGATGCTCGGGGGTGCTCAGGGGTGCTTGGTGATGCCCAGGGATGCATGGGGATGCTCAGGGGTCGAGGCAGCACTGCAGCTACGCCACGCTCTTCCATGTCTGCCGCTACCTGCAGGACGTTGCATTGCTCGAAGCACTCATGGTGAGAATGTTTGGGGATGCGTGGGGGTGCTCAGGGGTGCTCAGGGGTGCTCAGGGGTGCTCAGGGGTGCTCAGGGGTGCTCAGGGGTGCTCAGGGGTGCATGGGGAATCGGGGATGCTCAGGGGTCGAGGCAGCACTGCAGCTACGCTACACTCTTCCACGTCTGCCGCTACCTGCAGGACGTGTCGCTGCTTGAATCACTCATGGTGAGCAGCTCAGGGGTGTTTGGAGGTGGGGTGCTTGGGGGTGCTTAAGGCTGCTTGGGGGTGCTTGGGGATTCTTGGGGATGCCCAGGGATGTTCACGGGTGCTTGAGGGTGCTTGGGGACTTCAGTGATTGAACTAGTTGCTCAGTTGAATCAATCTACACTTCGTCCCCCTCCCTCTTTCTCTCCTCACCATATTCCCCGTCCTCCCCACCCTCCCCTCACCACCAGAGGGACATCCCATCGGGGCCTGAGGGGCGCTTCACCTTCTTTGTCTTCTCACAGTTCACAGCAGCGGAGGGGGGGGGACGCTGTTGCTCCCATGATGTCTATGCCCAGACGCCTCAGGAATTCACTTTCCTTCTCCCCTCCCTCTTCCTCCCCGTCCTCCCTCCCCCCAACACCAGAGGGACATCCCATCGGGGCCTGAGGGGCGCTTCACCTTCTTTGTCTTCTCGCAGTTCACAGCAGCGGGGGACGCTGCTGGCATGATGCGCTTTGGCCCCGCCTTCCCCACCGAGCTCGAGTCCTTCCTCCAGGTGAGGGGCCGGGCGGAACAAATTGCCTTCTGCTGGTTACTCTGCTGGCTTGACTGCTGGCTTGCATGTTGGGTTGTGGGTGAGAGCGGCATGATGCGCTTTGGCCCCGCCTTCCCCACCGATCTCGATTCCTTCCTCCAGGTGAGCGGGCGGGCGGAACAAAAGATGTGTTGCATTCTGCTTTGCTTTGCTTTGCCCTGCTGGGTTGTTGCCGTCTGGTTTGCCTATTGTGTTGTGGGTTGTGGGTGAGTGAGAGTGGCATGATGTGCTTTGGACCCGCCTTCCCCACCGAGCTAGCCGATTTCCTCGAGGTACCGGGTGGAACGGAACGTGTGGGGTTGGGAGGTGTAAGTTTGGGGTGTTGTTTTCCCACCTTTCTTTCCCTTTCCCTTCGCCACCCGCTTATTTCTATCTCTCCTTTCTCTCCCTCCCCACCTCTCTACCCCTCTTTCCGCTCTCCCCTCCCTCCTCAACCCCTCCCCCTCCTTCCCCTCGCGCCTCCCTCCTCTCCCCCTCTCCTCACAGGACCACAAGCACCTGAAGTGGCTTCTGAGTCGACTCAAAAATTATCCCCGCCCTCCCCCCTCCCCCCTCCCCCCTCCCTCCTCTCCCCCTCTCCTCACAGGACCACAAGCACCTGCAGTGGCTGCACGACATTCTTTTGGGTAACTTCCCCAAGGCCACTTCTACCCTGCATGCGCTCGCCTCCTCCTTCCCAGCGGCCCAATCCATGATGGAGCAAGAGGCTCAGCGGCAACAAGCAAAGCAAGGAAGAAACGGGAAGAGCCGGGGGAGAAGCGGGGGAAAGGAGCAGGGAGGGCAGGAGGGGACGGAGGGGATGGATGGGATGGAAGGGGGGGTTGCGGCTATGGGGTTGAGTGTGCTAAGGAGGAGGAAGAAGCTGCTGCAGCTTGCAAAGCTCTCCTTCCTGGCCGGTGCTTCAGGTAAGAATCTCACCACACATGGAGAAGAGGGGACTGAGGGGAGTGAGGGGATGGAGGGGATGGATGGGATGGAAGGAGGGGTTGCAGCTATGGGGTTGAGTGTGCTAAGGAGGAGGAAGAAGCTTCTGCAGCTTGCGAAACTCTCCTTCCTGGCTGGTGCTTCAGGTAAGAATCCCACCCACCGCACATGCTTGCTTGTTTGCATGGTTGCTCTGGTTTCCCCTCAGCTTCCCTCCTTGTTCTGTCTCCTCATCCTCTTCCCCTTCGTTTTTTCTCCATCCTTTTCTAACCACCGGACCGGACCGAACCAGACCAGACCAATTCATACCTTTCATCGCGCCTTCTTCTCGCCTTCATCTCACCTTTCTCCCTGTTTGCCCAGACCCTTCGGCCCTCACGTCGCGAGCCACTGTCCTCTCTGCTGACATTGAACTGCGGCTGCTGGAGATCCAGGTAACGGGCTGTTGCGAGGGCACTGGGGGGGGGGATAGGCTGTTGAGAGTCTGAGAGTGAATGAGGGCTCTTAGTCTCGCAAGTCAATGTTGCAAGCCTCTGTCCTCTCTGCTGACATAGAACTGAGGCTGCTTGAGATCCAGATGCTGGGCTGTTTAGAGAGTCCTGTTTTGAGTCGACTCAAAACACTTCGCTGCTGACATAGGACTGCGGCTGCTTGAGATCCGGGTGCTGGGCTGTTGAGAGAGGGCACTGGGGTCATTGAGAGGCTGGGAGTGAGGAAGGGAGAGGGGGTGCGGGTTAGAGAGAGTGGGTGTATGCGTGTGTTTATGTGCTGGTGAGAGAGTGAGAGTGAGAGAGAGATAGTGTGCGGGTGAGACAGATAGCGAATGGGTGTGCAAATGGGTGTGCAAATGGGTGTGCAATGTCGGAGGGGCTAGCAGGTTCAGGGTCTATAGGCGCATTGGAGCTCGCATCCGCACTGCTCCTAGGCACACGCCCGCTTCCCCACTAATACTGCCCCGTCCCTTCCATCCATGCACACGGCACATCCTTTCATCTTTTTCTGCCCTGCAGGAAGCAGCCATGTCGGAGGGGCTTGCAGGGCCAGGGCCCATAGGCGCATTGGAGCTCGCAGCAGCACTGCTCCCACTCTCCCCCACAGCTCTCCTTCTCCACAAATACCTCCCTGTCCCCTTCCATCCATGCACAATTTCATCTTTTTCTACCCTCCAGGAAGCAACCATGTCGGAGGTTTTAGCAGGGCCAGGCCCCATAGGCGCATTGGAGCTCGCAGCAGCACTGCTCCCAGGCCCGCGCCCGCTGCTCCTCCTGTCCTTTGAGGTGTTTGCCCTTGTCGGCCCCCTACAAATATCTCCCCGTCCCTTTCCATCCATGCACATGGCACACGGCACATGCATTCATCCCTCTCTACCCTCCAGGTAGCAGCAATGTCAGAGGGGCTAGCAGGGCCAGGCCCCATAGGCGCATTGGAGCTCGCAGCAGCACTGCTCCCGGGCCCACGCCCGCTTCTCCTGCTCTCCTTCGAGGTGTTTGCCCTTGTCGGTCCCTCGCCCTTCCTCCACCCGCCTCCGCCTTTGGATCCTATCACTGGCCTTGCCTCCGATGCTGCTGCTCCTGCGGATTCTGCTTCTGCTTGCGGTGGTGGTTCTGATGGGAGTTTTGCGTCGGCGAAGTGGGAGCGAGAGCAGCGGAAGGAGGCGGTGCGAGTGCTGAAGCGAGCATGGGTTGCAGCAGCAGAGGCGGACGACTGGGTGGAGATGAGGCAGAGGAGCGAGGACGAGGGATGGACAGACGCCCAGTTTGTTACCGCTCTTCGCAGCTCTGTGCTCTGCATTGCAGCGCAGTTACTCTACAGCAGCCGCCCCGTCTCCTCGTCCGATTATTCCCTCCCTTCCTTCTCCTCCTCCTCCTCCACCTCTGCCTCTGCGTCTGCCTCATCTCAGTCTGCATTCCTCCCGCCTCGGCACCCCTTTGCATCTGCCGAAGCCCACCCGCTGCATGGTAAACCCGGGCAGGTTGAAACTTTCGAGGCAGTGCTGCCCCTGCTGGGGCAGTCAGCAGGATACGGGAGCTGGGCAGGGGAAGGGGCAGAGTGGGGCGACGAAGCGAGGGTGGATGAGGCTGGTACGGTGGAAGAGGTTTTGAGAACGGTGAGAGGGTTTTCCGCTGTTGGGGAGGCTATGCTGTCGGCTCTGAGGCTCGGGAGGGACCAGGGAGGAGGTGGAGGAGGAGGAGGAAGAGGAGTGGGTAGGGATGCGAGGGGTGGGGAGAGGGGAGGAGTGGGAGGGGTTGGAGGGGTTTACGGAAGGCAGGTGCTGATGATGGGGGTTGGGGATGCAGTAGTGGAAGAAATGGTGGAGTGAAAAGATATGGGTGATATGATAACGGGAGGGGGGAATGAAGGGAAGGGGGTGTTGTTGAACTCGTCAGCTTTTTGTGAAGTGACTGTTTCTTTGTATTGTATCATACCGGTACCTATCATGGTTTGGTAAGGGATGGTATGGTAATGGTACCTACGGTAGCTGTATGGTTTTGCGTAACAGCAGTGCTGCTTTGTTTTGATAGCGTTTAGATGTCACATGTTATACGGCATGTCACCTTGTCTAGGTGATTCCTTAAAGCCCATAGACACATACACCAGAGGCACAGTTGGCAATATGGGAAGCTTCCGTATGCTGAACTGAGTTGACCATTGTTAACAGGGCAATCACACGGAGAGGATGTAGTATGATTATAGCCAAAGAAAGTGAACACACACATGCAATCACACATGGTGGTATCGAGCTAGCTTAGCTAAAGAAGAATAGCTATCATGCACAACTTGTGAAGTCTAACGTGTTTCTAACCCATCCCCCCATCCTACTTACTCCTAAAGTCCAATCCCTCTCTATGTGTGACCACCAACAAGCCATCACATCACCTTCCACTACCTTCCGCCAAGTAGACTGGTCAAGCTGCAGTATAGAAATCATGCCTGACGGTCCGAACAATCAATTACCCAGGAATAGCATAGTGATCAGCATCAGCTTGATCACTACAGTGAATGTAACCGCGTATAGGTGAAAGCAGCAGAGGAGTCAGCAGGTACTGTCAAAAGAGGTGCCAGTTAAGCGTTGGCCCGCATTGGTGACAGTAGTGATTGTTCCTAAATGAAGAGTGTCAGGCCTAGGGCTTGAACTACTAGTGTTGAAGGTGCAAGTGGTGCTGACCCCACCTTTCAGTGCTGCTGCTGCTGCTGCTGCTGCTGCTGCTGCTGCTGCCTTGGCTGCTGCTGCTGCTGCTATAGAAGCAGCAGCAACACGCCCTGCTTCTGCTTCAAGTGGTGCTAGGAATGCGTAGCAAGAGTCTTTGGAAAGTAAACCCTGGAAGCGAGCAGCAGGAGCCGCTGCTGCCGGTGCTGCCAGTGATGGTGCTGTTGCTGCTGCTGCGTTTATTACTGCCGGTGCTGATGGCGTTTGCTGGTAGTGGTTGAAGCGACGGATCCAAGGGCTTTGGAAGGGCACATGGGTAGGGAAGAGAGGAAGAGGCGCAAGAGGAGGAGGAGAAGGAGCAGGAGCAGCAGCGACAGCAGCAGCAGGCGTCACTACAGCGGAGACAGGGACCAGAGCCGATGCAGACATGCAAGCAGAAACGGAGGAGGCGAAGGCAGGGGTCAAGGCGGAAGGAGAAGCAGCAGGATGATAGGCAGTGAGATGCGCGGAAGGAAGCAGGCAGTGGCTGCAGGGCACAGCTGGCGCGGAGGGCGCAGCAGTGAATGTAGGCGCTGCAGCAGCGAACGGAAGCACGTATGGTCGGTACAAAACTTGTGCTGCTGCTGTTGCTGCTGTTGCTGCTGCTGCAGCTTCTCCAGCTCCCTCGAATCTGCATTCGCCTCCACTTTCGTCGCTCCCTTCGCCCACTCCTTCTCCCATCGCTTGCTCCGTTTCTTCTCCCAACGCTGCATCCCCAAAAGAACAAGGTCCGGCATTAGCAGCAGCGGGTGTGGCGACAGCAGCGGCAGCGTCAGCCATAGCAGGAGGAGGAGGAGCAGGCACCGCAGTAAGACCAGAAACACGCACCCGCTGCTCCACCTCCTCCCCTCCCCCACACACGCTATCACAGCTGCTCGCATTCTCGTCGCCCTCCTCGCCATACCCCCTTAGTACCGCCGTGAAGTCTTCACTATCACAGCCCCAGTCAACGCTGCTCCTGCCACCAGTAGCATCGTCGGATAAGCCATCCCCGCTATTGTCGGCCTCGCTACTGCCGGTAGCACAGGTGCCAGACGCGCTGCTGCTACAGCCGGCACTCATTGTCACATCCGCCGATCCAGCAGCGGAACTGATGCTGATCCTAGCAGCTGTAGCGGCTGTAGCGGCTGCGTCGCCTGCGTCGGCTGTAGCCTCCCGCCAGCTGTGCGACCCCTCCTCGCCTTGCCGTCGTCGTTTGCTTCCCACACCGGCGCACGCCGCCACGGGCCATCCCGCTCCGCCGCCTCCGCCGCCGCTTTGACTTGTCTGAGACGTTTGAGGCGCTTCGAACGGCGCAGCTACAGCCGCGCGGCTGCTTCCGCCGCCGCCTACTTCTCCTCCTCCGCCGCGCGGTTTCTGCGCCACATGACACTCTCCGCCGCCGCCGCCGCAGGTTCCAGCTTCATTCACGCCGCAAATATCGGCGTGGCAGTACTGCCGAGAATACATTCGCCGCACGAAGTCGGCTTCGATAAGGTCGAGAAAGTTCTTGTGAGCTTCCTCGGTCCAACAGGTCGTCCAGACGAAACGGCCCGGGCCTGTTAAAGCCGCACCTGCTCCCGCATCCGCGCCCGCTCGGGCGCGCGCGTGAGCGTCCGCGTCCGCGCCAGCGCCCGCGAACGTGCCCGCGCCCGTGCCTGCAGCGGCTCCCCCTTCCGCCGAGTGGCTTTGAGCTTTCCACTGCAGCGGCTGCTGCGGTTGCGGCTGCGGCAGTTGCTGACCGAGCCGCCGCTTTCCCGACGGCCTATCCAGCGCGCCGCGTCCCGTCTCCGTGTTATCCGCCGCCTTTGTTTGCGGATGTCCCGGACAGCAAGCGCCGTTGACCATTGCAGTAGCAGCACTAGCGCCTGGGGGCGATGATAATCGGAACATTGCGGGAGGGTGACTCCGTGCTGGGATGGTTCAGTTTGACGCCTCGGTACTTGTGCTGGATTAACGGTTTCTTTTAACTTGGAATGTAGATCGACTTTGAAGCCCCGTCTGACGTGATGCGATGGTAATCGGTGCCCTTCGCCGTTCGAGATGCGATCCTGGGAGGCACGCGAGACTGGCTGAGACTATTACGACGGTCTTGGTATTACGAAACAAGTCCGTGCTAGTATGCGGCACTAATCAGCTTGTGAACTCTTGCTAACAAAATGAAGTTCGAGATGGGATGGAACAGGTAGAGACTCGCACGTAAAAAAGCTACAGATATATGCTCCTTCACGAGTGTGGTTTTCAACACCCGAACATTCACCAATTCTCCTTGCTTGTGGAGCTTTGGAGATAGTTACGTATTGTTTGTATTCTTCGATGGATGGGATGGGACAGGAACGAGAGGGCCGCTGGTAGATATTTTCATTTCTGTTTTGAGCTCTATGGCTGGATTGGTCACTGACTGGACCCCACGGAGCAGACCGCGTTTTTCCATGGCATTCCTCCGGACCAATTGCTGTTGATGCATAAAAGCCGCGCGACCTGCCATTTGCATTCACATCGGGGGATTTTTCGCAAATTGTTTGAAGAGAATGACAGGGCAGCAGCAGGAGGAACAAACTCAGACTGCTGCGGTGGCAGTGGAAAGGGAAATGTGGAAGTCGGTGATAGGTAGCAACGCAACTTGCTGCCAGGCTTGCGAGTGGCGGTTTGGGCAGGGGGGAACTGGGGAGTTGGGGGGACATGGGGAGAGGGGGGGGGAGCTTGGCTGGGGTGGGAGGGAGAGGTGATATTGTGAGAATTTGAGGTTTGAGAAGCGCGACGCGGAGGTGGCGCAAAGGTTGACGTCACTGAAGACATCACGACTAGACGAGACACGTACTTGCGACAAGATATCACGTGAATTCCTTTTCGGCAAGCATGCCGGATTCCATTCGCGTGTGACAGGGGAAATATCTGAGTCCATGCTGGCGTAGCATGGAGTGCGGTTCTCCAAGTGTTTATGGTAGACAGTACGTTTTGAATCGGTACACGCAGGTATCGGAAGCAGATTGCATGCGGCAGATTTGTGAAGTCCAACACCTCAGTTAAATGAAATGCTGCGAAATCCGTCCTTGGCACAAATATCCACACCAGAAATCACAGCTTTGTCTCCATCGACGGCATCGAACAGTTTGGCTGGCAGCACGAATGTGAAGTACAGTAAGACGGAAAACGGGCAGCAGTGAAACAGCTGCTTTTGCAGAAGTTATTCAGTTCAGCATGTACATACATTGGTTTTGTATGGCCGTCACAATAGCAGTCTTCATCCTTTCATCCAGTGTATAAATTGCGTGTAGAAGAAGGAATGCTCGAAGTAAAAAAAGGTGGTGGATGATCTCGAACACGGCTACTGTTGTGAATCCTATGGAAATCGAAGGTTCTTCGGGGGCATGATTTCTTCGAACAGCCGTGTCATCTGTCACATGCCAAGATCACTCATTGCGACCACGTCAAATTTTGGTCAGCTTTCGTGGCACATAGCCAAAAGGAGAATATCTAGATTGCTTCCGACAAAAAGGGTATACCTTTCCGTAGAACCGCCCAGGAAGTGGTCTGATATTTTGCATAAAGGGGGTCAAGACCAATCAGAGACAACGAGGAATGAACTCCATTGGAAGTACAAATATCTGGCTGGGGAGATATTTCTTCTGTGCTTGTTCTGAACTCTTGACGCCCCGTTCCTAATTTAAGCCTTTTTAAAACGACATTGTAGCTTTGCAGCAACTTACAATGATAATATTTCGGGATAGAAGTACGTATAGTAAATAATTTCAGACAGGTACATGCAGAAATCATTGCGAACATATAATGTGATTACGTGGTCTCCCTAAACAGAGGTGTATCCCTTTACTTGGCACATGCGCATACAATGGATTCCTCTCATAACCGAAACTACCTTGCAAGCGCATTTCTTGGTCTTGTCTGATTTTTTATTCCTACATTATAAATCCTGTGAAGTTTTCCTTTCACATGCCTCGTAAATCTCCACAAGCTTTTCCGACAAGAACACATGTTCTTATATTCATGGAGTATCACGTTTCTTTTGTTCATAAACTAGCTTATGCATATTATTAAATTAGTTTCACAAAGGAGCTTCCCGAACCACGCTTCAGCGGCGCATTCGTCCACGTGGAGATCCTTGTGACTGCCTCGTCACGTCAACAAATCTGAACGTACCTCGATGTAACTTCCAGTTAGTTCACTCTATGTTTTCGTTACCCGACTCCACGAATTCGTAAACTGAAAATCTAGCGCCACTCAATTTCGCAAGACCACCTGTTGACCACAACGTGTTACGATTTGGAATTCGCATCAATTCGCCTTGCTAGCTTTTTCGCCTAGATTCCTGTCATCACTTCCCATCGATTCTTGTATTTCTTCCCCACGCTGCTCTCCATCTTGGATTCCAAATTCGCCTGCCGCACACTTTTCCGCATCTTTCCTCCTGCGTAACTCCCACTCAAGAATCTCATTTCTGCCACGATTCGCTCTGTCGTGCGCTTTTCCCCATCAGTCCTCCATCTGGTCCTCACCACCATCCTTTCGCGGTAATGGCTGCGCTATCGTTCACTCCAGTCGCATCCGCGACCTCCCTCACAGCGCGTGGCCTCCTTCCGCTCGCGTGTGCGCGCCGCGTCCCCCAGGCTTCCGCGCTGTCGTGGTCGTCACAAAGCCCCGCGTTCGCTGCGCTTAACGCGGTGGCCGCTCCTCCACCGGGGCGCCATGGACATCGGGGGCTGCGAGTCGCGGCTTCTGTTGCTGCGGAGGCGACGACGCAAGGGACGGGCTCGAATAAGGTCGGTAGCTTCTTTCTTATGAGGTTGTTCGGCGGGTTTCTCGCGCTTTCGCACTGGCAAGCACACGTTCCTTTCCGTCTGAGCTCGGCTTAAAACACACTGGAGTCCCGAAACCCTTGTTTTCCTTTTAACTCATCCGCTCTTCCGGATTCGTAATCGCCCGTTACGATCTCTAGAACCGTCTCAAGGGTCAGAGATTTCTGAACCGCACTGCTCCTTCGAGGTCACCCGTATAGCATTGCTGCTTCGCTCCCTCGCTTCCCTCGCTTCCCTCGCTCTCTCTCCCTCCCACCAAACTCCCCCCTCCCCCCCTATCTCCCCGCCTCTCCCCCCGCCTGTCCCCTGCCACCCGCCTCTTCATTTTTAACTCCTACAGTCGCGTGAAAAGCGCTCGTGGACGTGGCAGCGCGCCAACGGTCAACCGAGCATAGAGATTAACTACGTAGTCTACCCTACCTCCGGCTCGGACCCCCCCGAGTCGCTCGTTCTCTTCCTGCCGTCCTTTTCCGACGTCAGCACGGTGGACGAATGGGACCACGTGGCGTCTGACGTGGCAGCGCTGCCGCCGCCCAGCGCAGCGGAAGGAGGGCGCCAGGTGGCGACTCTGGATTGGCCTGGGTTTGGCGAGTCGGAGCGCCCGGCTCTAGAGTACACGGCGGCTATTATGGAGGATTTTCTGGTGGACTTCGTTAATTACATCGGTGAGGAGTGGTGGGAGATGTTGAGGAGTGGGGAGGAGTGCATGCGGCTGATAGGGAAAGTGGGGAGGGAGGGGAGGGGAACGAGCGAGGGAGGGATTGAGTAAGGAAGACGAGGAGATCTGGGCTTGCCCTTCCCATGGCATGGGATTGTGACTCACTTTCCCTCCACCCCTTCTTCCCTCTCCCTCAGTATGTCCCCACCTTAACTCTTACGCCCATTGCATGAAGCACTGACCATCACCCCCACTCTCCTCCTCTTCCACCGGAATCTGATGACCACCAAATCCTCACCATCACCCGCCCGCCCGCCCCTCCAATTTTCCGGGACCCCCACCTGCCCTCCCCCCACCTCCTCTCGCCTCCCCTCCTCTCGCCTCCCCTTCCCAAGGCGCCGGGCAGTGAGTGGTGCTGGTGGGAGCGGGGCAGGCCCCTGTGGCAGCACTTAAAGCCGTGGCGAGCATCTCCCCTCCCCTCACCTCACCCCATCCGCCCAAACACCCATCTACCCCTCTCCAACCCCATCTCCCCCTGTCTCTCCCCCGGCTCCCCCCTGGCCCCCCTTTCTCCCCCCACCCCCAGGCGCTGGGCGGCCAGTGGTGCTGGTGGGAGCAGGGCATGCCCCCGTATCAGCACTTAAAGCCATGGCAGACGGGCGCCTCACCTCACTGCCCCTACCCCCCCCCTCATCCCCTGTACCTTCCTCTCCCCCCGTCCTCTTTCCCGCAGGCGCCGGTAGGCGAGTGGTGCTGGTGGGAGCGGGGCATGCCCCCGTATCAGCACTTTAAGCTGTGGCAGACGGGCGCCTCACCTCACTGCCCCTGCCCCCCCCCTCACCCCCTGTACCTTCCTCTCCACACGTCCTCTTTCCCCCAGGCGCCGGTAGGCGAGTGGTGCTGGTGGGAGCGGGGCACGCACCCGTGGCAGCACTTAAAGCCGTGGCGGACGGACGGCTCAAGGCAGCAGCGCAGGGGGGGAGGGTGGACGTGGAAGGAGTGGTGGCAGTGGCGCCCACGTGGGCTGGCCCGCTGCCCATTGTGTTCGGTCATACCGACAAGATGCGTCCCCGGTGAGTTGCACACGGGGGAGCAGATGGTTCCTTCCTGCCTCAAGGCAGCAGTGCGGGGGGGGGGAGGATGGACGTGCAAGGAGTGGTGCTAGCAGTGCCGCCCACGTGGGCTGGCCCGCTGCCGATCGTGTTCGGCCATACGGATAAGATGCGCCCCCGGTGAGAGGGGAAGGTTGTAGCATGAGAATGGGGGGGGGCGTGGACGTGCAAGGAGTGGTGGCAGTGGCGCCCACGTGGGCTGGCCCGCTGCCCATTGTGTTCGGTCATACCGACAAGATGCGGCCTCGGTAAGTTGCGGAGATGATTCTTCCCTGCCTCAAGGAAGCAGCGCAGAGGGGGGCGTGGACG